CCAACGAGGAACCGAGCACTCGGGCCCCTTTCCTCCCCTCCAGGTGAGCGCCTGGGCGGTGTGGGCGGAGCGGCCACAGCTCGCCAGTGCCCCCTTGTGTCAGAGGGGGCACATGGCAGAGACAGAGCTGAAAGAGACCAGAATCCCTCCAGGAAGACAGAGGGTGTGGGATCAGGAGATCCTGCAGGAGGGAGCAAACGACGGAACTGCCAGGACCCAGCTGGGCCCAGAGACACAGGACAACATCTCACAGGTCTCGTGAAATTCCCCCAAAACAAGGGTTCTATGGTCAGGTCAATTTGGGGAACACTGCTCACTGCATTTCCTCATATGGGTTTCTTACTTTTTTTAACCTTTATTTTTGAGAGAGAGAGAGAGAGAGAGAGAGAGAGAGTGAGCAGGGGAGGGTCAGAGAGAGAAGGAGACACAGAATCTGAAGCAGCTCCAGGCTCCAGAGCCATCAGCACAGAGCCCCATGCAGGGCTGGATCTCAGACTGTGAGATCATGACTTGAGCCGAAGTCAGATGCTCAAGCGACTGAGCCATCCAGGTGTACCTCTTTTTTTAATGTTTATTTATTTATTTGGGGGGCCATGACTGGGGGAGGAGCAGAGGGGGGGAGGGGAGAATCCCAAGCAGGCTCCTTGCTGTCAGTGCAGAGCTGGACATGGGGCTCGAACCCAGGAACCATGAGATCATGACCTGAGCCAAAATCAAGAGTCAGATGCTTAACCGAGTGAGCTCCCGGGAGCCCCTCTCTTACAGATTTCTGTGGCATTTTAGCATCTCAAAGTCATAGGCCCCACAGCACAGAAACAAACGTAACTTTCCCAGAGTCTGTGGTCATAGGATCCTTTTCCAAATAAAGTCCGTTAACATCCTTCAGAAAGAAGGGTCTGTGGAAAACACCTGAGAAGCCACAGCTGACGGGCACGTGGCCAGGAGGGGGGCACGTGGCCAGGAGAAGGGCACGTGGTCAGGAGGGGGGCACGTGGCCAGGAGAAGGGCACGTGGTCAGGAGGAGGGCGGCGCTGCCCCAGGATTGACCCGGAGTAGGAGGAGCAAGACAATTAGGCCCAGAGTCCAGCCCGGGCCTCACGCTGGGGCCTCACGGGCTGGGAGTTCGCGTCCTCTCAAAGGCCTCCCAGCTGAGCTCAGCCGGACCTGCCCGATGGCGATGGAGAGGAGGCCGGTGGTGACATGTGACGACAATAAAAGCCGATGCCGGGCGTTGTCCTAATTGCTACACTCATTAGCTCATTTCACTCCCCCAACAGTGTGTCGGGGAGCACAGGTGTCAGGTCGGGGAGCACGGTGTTAGGCATGAAAGCGCAAGGTGCAGCCCTCATCCCTGCTGCTGGGTGCAGAGAGGGCACGGCGACTCCGCAAGACACACGCCGCCTCCGGCCGCCGCTCGGCTATGAGCTGGAGCAGACACAGGCTGATTTGGGACCCTGGGTTTGCTGCCTCACCCCTCGTGCTCCTGATTGTGCTTTTCCTTTGGTTTCCAGGAGACACGTGACTTTCACGCCTTATTTCCACCATCTTGCCCCCCCTCGTCCTTTTTTGCATCCCTTCTGTCGCGCAGCCTTCTCACGCGGCATCTCTCCGACTCTCCTTCCACTTTTAGGACGCCTGTGATGACACTGGTCCCACCTGGGCAATCCAGGATCATCTCCATGTGTCACGTCCTTGGCTCAGTGACATCTGCAGCGTCTTTCACCCCAAAAATGACATACTCGGTTTCCGGAGATTAGGACGCAGCCAGCCATGGGCTGTTTTTTGGCCCATGACAGGTACCTTCCTCAGGAAGGGAAGGCGGGAGGTCACCTTGGGAAGCCTTCCTGTCTGAGAAGGACGTCATGTTGCCCCCTCCCCCCCTTCGTTCGCTGGGTCTGGAATCCAAAAACCAAATGACTTTTTTCTCAGGGTTTGGAAGACCTCGCGGCACCACCTGCGAGCGCCCTGCTCGAGTCTTGGCAGCATTGTGTGGTCGCTAAGGGTGGCGGCCATGACTTTTGTCTTTATGCGGCACAGGAGCAGGAGTTAGTTCGAAGCAGGTGGCTTGAGTCCGCCTCTGCGGAGTCTCCTCCATCAGCCTGAGGAAACATCACTTGTCCACACACCCTCCCCCCCAACAGGACTCTAGTTCGGTTTCCAAATACATTTATTGGTTGTGTTTTCTGATTGCAACGCAATAGTACATGGGTAGCGAAGAAAGTCTGGAAATGATTTCCAAAGATGGTCATCGCCTAGCCCGCTGCCGCCCAGGGGCGAGGCGTGTCTGTGTGTGTGCGCCCAGCTCTCCACGTGCCGAAATGTACACACGGCTCCGGGTTGCACACTGGGAGTCCGGCGGTGGCTCTAGCCCGGCAAGAGAGCGGATGCAGAAACGAAAACGAGAGAGAGTAACGTCCGGGAGGAGACCAGAGCCCCGCGCGGGGGTTTCGTCTCCGGTTTGTTGAGCGCTCAGATCGTACACACGGCGGGGAGCGTGTAGAAAACAATCGGATAGTAATGGCTGACTTGTGTGTGTGAGAAGCAAAGGGTCTGGGGGGCAAGTAGCATTTGTGATCTAAGTATATTGGCTCCAGACGGAAAGTAGTTTCCTGCAGGTGATCCCATTATTACCTCTGGCTAAGTAACCGTGGGCGCCTTTGCCCCGCGGAGGCGGCTTTCCGCCCTAAGCTTTTTTCAACCCATTAACGGAAGTATAAGGAGTTCCTGAGCCTGTTATCCCACAGCTCTGAATCGTGTTTACATTTAGAATCTCTCAGAAATACTTCATGTTTTCTATAATTAATCTTATTTGCATACGGGAAATAATAAGTCTTAGTGGCTGTCTACAAAATCTGCTCTGGCTTTCTGACTTTTTGGAGAAGAAGGAAAAGAGGGGGCGCCTGGGTGGCTCCGTCGGTTAAGCGTCCAACTTCGGCTCAGGTCATCATCTCAGGGCTTGTGGGTTCGAGCCCCGCATTGGCCCACTGCTGTTAGCGCAGAGCACGCTTTGGATCCTCTCTCCCCTCCTCTCTCGGCCCCTCCGCCACTCTCTCTCTCTCAAAAATGAAATATGAACAATTAAAAAAAAAGAAAGGAAAAATACGTTGGCACTGCCCATAATATAACTAACAACATGCAGGAGTCTGCTAAGCTAACAGCTCCCCTCCAGACCACGTGTAAAACACCCTGACTCCAAGCAAAATGGTCTCAAAGCTGAAGATGAACGTTGCAGGTTTCATCGTCTCTGTGACTTTGATTCCAAGATGAGACCCCTTTCTGTTAACACTGGAGGGCGGGAAAACACCAAGGGACAGTCGCTTACCGTCTGGCTACCCCCCACCCAGCCTCCAGCCCCTCCCCACACACGGCCTCCCATGTCCCCACCACGTACACCCTCCTCGGCAGTCAGGGGGACTCTAGCCGCCCACAGGGTAGTGGCACGAGCCATTCCAGAGGCCCACTGGTAAGTGACGGGGTCCTGGCGGGGGCGGGGCACGTGTGCCGGGGCGGGGGGAGGTGAAGGCCACTCTCTGGGGCAGGGTGGTGTCTGGGAGTGTGAAAGCGGGGTCGGGGGTGGAGAGGTGATGAGCCCCGAGTTGCTGCCCGAAGCCGCCAGTTCCTTCCCCCGACGGCTGGGAGCTCTCACCATCCCCGGCCCGTCTCAGGAGGGTGAGGGCGGTGGGCTCTGTGGGGAAAACCAGGGACCCAGGGCCGAGTGTCAAGGGTCCCCCGGGGCTCACTCCCACCCCGGCCGGGACACGTCCAGCATCACCCGCACCACAGGACAGGTGGCGGGCGGCCCCGGCAGGACCTCCCGGAGTGCGTCACTGATTCTGGGCGGGGTCGTGGAGTGTCTCCACCGTGAAGGGCACATGCTGCACGGTCGTTGCTGGGCCACCACAGGCTTCAGGACCGCCCATGGAGGGAAGGACCACAAAGCCCTTAGTGACAGACGTGGCATGAAGGGCTGTAAGGGCCGTGACGACCAGGACAACAGAGTGGAAGGAGCGGCATCACGATGGAGGCCTGGAGGAAGAGCAGGCGTCTACCAGGAAGAGGGAACGTTCTAGACAAATGGAACAGCATCTGCAGGGACCCCAAGGCAGACAAGAACTGGTCACACAGGTGCCATATAACAGAGTGGGTGCAGGGGTGAGGGGCGGCAGGAGGTGGCCGGGTCCCTGCAGGGGTGGCTGCCTGGCCCGCCCAGGAGCAGGGGGGAGCTGCAGCGAGTGTCGTGTTTGCCTGCCTTGGTGTGTGTGGACTGAGCCCCTCCTGCTGAGATGGAGGGAGGGAGGAAGAGTGAGGCCCACCTGAGGCAGTGGCGGCCCTGAGTGAGGCGACAGGGAGGGAAGGGGCCTCTCTACCTCGTGCGGAGACCTCGGTCTGGTTCACCCAAGAGCATTCATGCCCTCTGCCCATTTGGGGAACCAGGGCCTCTCCCAGCCTTCCGCCCCTGGATCTCGGGTGAGCAGGGAGGTTTGCTCCGAGGGGAGGCCAGGCCGTGGCCCTGGGGTTTCTTGGGCCCACCAGGACTCTGCGTCTGTGGCCCACGGCGGGAACCTCCTCATCTGGGCAAACGCCATCGGGTTTCTTCCCTCCCTGCCTCAGTTTCCCTACTCCTCACTGGGGCTTCTTGGCGTCACCTCCCAAATAACCTGCCCGCACCCCAGTCCTGGTCCCGGGTTGGCCTCTGGGGCACAGAAGTAAGACTGGGAGCGTCTGGTGTCTGTGTGGAGGGCACACCGGCATGAGCACCAGGGGCTCGGGTGTCCCCCCCACAGCACCCGCTCCGTCTCCCTGCCCCCCAGTGACCCTGGGGCCACTAACGTCCTCCCGTAAATGATCTTGAACTAACCAGAGGGGGCGCTGCGGTTTGTCGCCCAGACCTGAATAGGAGACAGCTGGAGCGAGACTCGGGAGGTGGGGACTGGTGTTGGGGGCCGTGAGGGGGTCCAGCGAGCCCCCCGGGGCCACAGAACGCTCTGCGAGGCATCGACTCCGACATGCTAATGCGTTTATTGGAATAAGGCACAGGTTGGGGGACGGAGCCTGGCTCAGCAGCTGGCCCCAGCTCGCAGGGGCCCTGGAGGGCTCAGGCCAGCTGCAGGAGCCCAGCCCAGAGCACGGCAGGGGGCAGGAGCAGCCGAGAGGGCCCTGGACTCCGAGCGGCGCCGCGGGCCACCAGCGTCCGGATCCAGCTGAAGTGCCTGCTGACGTCGGTGTAGACCCCAGGCCGGTTGGGCCTCCCACAGCCCAGTCCCCAGCTCACGATTCCAACCTGAATCCACAGCCCTCTCTTCTCGCAGGCCAAGGGTCCGCCAGAGTCGCCCTAGGGAGCAGCGCGGGTGAGCCAGGCCTGCTGGTGGGGAGGGGCGGGGAGCCCACGGGGCCAGTGGAGAAGGGGGGACAGCAGGTGGGGCTGCGGAGCCGGACAGACTAGGTGTGGATCCTGCTCCCCACCCAGGAAGTGAACAAGCCTCCATTTCTGCATCTGCAAAGTAGGGCACTAGTCTCTACCCTCTGCGCTTGACGCATGAACCAAATGAAGTGCAGGCTGCCACAGGGCCTGGGGCTGGGGTGGCGGCTGCCAGGGTCCACAGGCCCCTAGCTGGGGTGGGGAGGGACACTCACGAAGCAGGAATCCTTGCCGCCTTGGGGATCACCAGCACACACCATGTCCCCCCAGATGTCATAGCGGAACAGAGGCCGTGTGTACAGGTAGTTGCACATGGTGGTGTTTATGATGCCGACCTGCACTTCCTGGAGAATGTAGGGGGGTGGCAGCGCTGCCGAGGGGACAAAGAAAGACGGCACCCTGAGCCGCTACTCTACCATCTGCTTGGGAGAAGTGGCACAGGCGACGGGGTGGGGGAGAAGGTCGCGGGGGCCAGCACCCGGCACGTTGTGGGAGATGGACCCGCTGCCACCACTCTTTCCAGAGACCCGGCTTCCCCGCCGGAGCACGCGGACAGTAGCCGCTCCTGGCCAGTGGGGGCTGACAGAGCCGGGCAGGGTTCGGGGCAGTGTGGTCCAGCTGCCCTAAGGCACTTCCGGGGCCTTCCTCGGTGAGATCAGGACCCACTCTCGGGTAAGGAAAGGCTCGGGGTGGAGCACCGCTCCCCCCCCCCACCCCAGCAAAGCACCAGGCAAGGCTCAGAGCCCATCGTGAACCCAAATCTGTCCAATTCCTCCGCGCGGGCCTGAGCCACCAGCGACCCTTCAGAGGACGGCAGGAGGGTAACTGTAGCGTGTGGCTGGAGCCGCGGGCCTGCCAGGGACTCTGCCAAGCCCTTAGGTATGAACGTTTTTACATTTTTTTTTTTTTAATTTCTAGGAGAGAGAGAGACAGCGTGAGCAGGGGAGGGTCAGAGAGAGAGAGAGACACAGACTCTGAAATAGGCTCCAGGCTCTGAGCTGGCAGTCAGCACAGAGCCCGATGCGGGGCTCGAACCCACAAACCGCGAGATCATGACCTAAGCGAAAGTCGGACGCCCAACCAACTAAGCCACCCAGGCGCCCCGGTATGAATGTTTTTAAACCCCAGAACCACCCTGTGAAGTGGGAACCATTTCACCCTGTTCTGCAGGTGAGGAGGCCAAGGCACAGGGGAAGGAGACACTTGGCCTGGGGTGGCCCCATCGGAACGAGGGAGAGCGAGGCCTCCTAGCAGGCAAGGGGTTGGTGTCCAGAGTCACCTCCTTTCTACCTTCGAGGAGGAGGCTGGAGCCTGGGGCCAGACCTGACTACCCGTCAGCCTCGGGCCAGGGAGTCTGGTGGCCGGGTCCCTTGGCTCACACCCACTCAGCGCTTTGGGCCGGCAGAGATCTGCGGCAGGTGACACTCTATCCAGCCCCTTGTAGGGAAGGGAAAGGACCCCAAGTCTAGAGGAAGGCAGGGCCATCACGGGTTTCTCTATCCCCCCTGCCAATCCCAGATGGGTGAGCATAAGGACACGTTACTCTCTTGACCAGTGAGTCCTGGCTTCTCCACTGACCCCTTCTGGGGCCTTAGGGCCATTTCCATACCTCTCTCACTTTCCTCATTGATAAAGCAGGTGTAAATACGGCCCCAGCCTCATCCACAGGTAGAGCCCAGAAGAGAGACCTCACCCTGCTCCTTCCTCCGTCTCCAGAGCCTACAGCAGTGCCGGCACACAGCATGCCCTCGCGGAGCCGAATCCGCCTCACTGCTGAGTTAGGGGTGCTGCCGGAAGGGGCCGGGCCAGGCTGAGCAACCGAGCCCAGTCCTTGGCGCTCGAGACCCAGGGCACCTCAGAGAGAGGGGCACGGGTGACTCTTCATGCTGGCCCAAGGACCCCTCCCCCCAGAGATTTAGCGGGGAGTCGGGGCATGGAGATGGTTTGACATTGCAAAGATAGACAAATGGGCTCAGGGCTCCAGGCAAGGAGGCAAAGTAGGCCGGTGCAGAAGGTATGGAAGAGCCAAAGCAGGGAGGCTGGATGGCTGGGGGCTGGGTGAGCACCCCTGCTGAGTGGAGGGAATGCATAAATGAACCACTGAGGCCTTTCTCACAGAACCTCCCCCAACACCAACACCCCTGCAGGCCGGGTGGGGAGTGCTCGCCTGGGCCCAGCTGGCCTCCCTCTCACTGTGGCTTCCGGCTCACAGTCTCTGGAAGGCAGAGGGAACGGGGTGTGGGGACAGGACGTCCTGCTCTGAGCAGCCCCCAGGCGCGACCCAGCTGCACACAGACCCGGGTGGGGGCTCCCGAAGCTGGTGTGGACAGAACAGACGGGGGAGCACAGAGCCCCCCGGTCCCACCCCCAGCCTCACCTTGATGTTCTTCGATGTTCCCCCAGCCAGTCACCCAGCAGTCGGTCCGATTCTGGAACTCAGAGGAAGAGGCCGCGACACAGATGGGCTGGATGTACTTATTGTAGGTGACGGAGGAGGCCAGCTTCAGCAGGGCGATGTCATAGGATGAAGCCCCCAGGTATAAGGGGCTCAAAACGATCTCCTGCACCTGGTATCGGTTGTAGTAGGCCTCCAGATTCCAGATGGACGGCATGGCGGACAGCTCGCCGAACTGCACGGACCACTCAAAGGGATCATTGCTCCTGGTGGGACACGAGAGAGCAGTCAGGGGTCCTTACAGGGGGGAGGGCCCCTGAGCCCACCTGAGGTCTTAGGCACTGGGAGAGCAGAGTACGATTGGTACGATTGGAGAGTCACTCAGCCAGCGGGCCACCTCCCGCGGCAGTCCTAAAAAAGAATAAAAAGACGCACAGGACCAGGCACTTCCCCCTGACCACGGTCGGGCAGGCCAGGCTCCGTGCCCAGACCTTCCCCACCTCTGTCTGCCCTGTGCCGGGAGGCGGGATGTGGAGGGGGCAGCTGGTACTGCCATTTGGGGAGAAGAGAAATCGGAAAAGAACACGACACAAAAGTGCATGGGAATGTTGTAAAGAACGTTCTGGGGGGGAAAAAAAACGGAACAGGGTGTTCTCACGTGGCTGCAGCCGGGCCTGGGGCTCAGGAGGATACCAGAGCCGCATCCACAAGCCGCAGGCGCGCAGGGCCCGGCCTCCCCCCGCCCCCCTCGCCCCCCCCCATCCTAGGGCCGCCCTCCAGACTCACCTTTCAAAGCAGTGCGCGGCCGAGAGCGCCCAGCGGCGGTTGAGCAGGGTGGCCCCGCAGTGGTGGGAGCCCCACAGGCGCAGGCTGCCCTGCCACGGCCAGCGCCCCAGCTCCGAGTCCTTTCCGCCCACCACGCGCATGGAAATAGTTCGGCGGCCGCAGGGCCCTGGGACGGACAGACGGACACGCGGCCGGCTGACCCCGCCCGCCCCACCTGCGCGCGCGCGAAGGTAAGGGGCTCCCGGGAGAACGCGCGCGTCGGGGTCACGCCGCGCAGGGGCCAGGGGACCTCGCGCCCCGCCCCCCCCCCCCCCCCATGGGGCCCGGTAGTTACACGTGAGCAACGACGAGTTCTCGAAACCTGCGAGGAGGAGAGGAAAAGCTGAGGCGCCCCTTGCGCTCCGGCTCGGGTGCCCTGCGCTGGAAAGCGCGCGTCCTGGGCGCCTTACCTGGAAACAGCTGGTCCAGATCCTGAACCTCTGCGGGTCGGGCGGGCGGCCAGGTGAGCTCCCCCCCGGTCTGCACGCGCCCCCGCCGCCCCCCACCGGCCCCAGGGCGGCCCGCAGCCCCCGCCTGAGCTCACCCTGCGTCTGGAGCTCCGCTCGCACCAACAGCTGCGCCAGCAGCAGCGCCCGGACGCGCGCGCCCATGGCCGCCTCTGCCGCCTCGTGGCCCCCCCTCGGCTTCCGCCGGCTCGGGGACCGGCCCGGGCGCCCCCTGGGAGAGAGGGAACGCCCGCGACGCTGGCCCGCCCCTGCCCCGCGCTGGACCTCTCTCTCCCCTGGGTCCCAGGGCCTTTGGGAAGCATCGAACCTCAAAGCGCACGGTTCAGAGCTTCCACTCCGCCTGGGTCCACCACCCACACCGTGCGCCCAATCAGTCCTCCTGGTCAGCATCACTGGGCTCCTGCCTGCCCCCTCGTTGCCCCCTCGTTGCCCCCTTTCGTCCACCGTCCGCTTTCAGGTAGCGGCCAAGGCTGGCCGCCACCGGGACTCCTGGGAGAGCGGGGCCTCGCTGAGCGCCTGCTAGGGACCTGGCCGCAGTGGGCCACACCAGGAAGAGAAGTTCCGTTCCTTCCCTTCTTGGGGAAATGAGGGTCTCTGGTCTCCACCGGCCCGAGCCCTCAGCCAGGCCAGTCCCTGCCCGCCCAGGCTGCCCCCTGGTGGCCGGCCCCTGCCCTCCTCCTTCTCCTCCAACTTAAATCTTGACTCCCCTTTCACAAACTGTTGCAAAATGGCCTCAACGAGAGAGACACGCCTGGACGGTCTCTGCGCCTTCTCGGCGCCCCTGGGTCCTGAGCACTCCCAGGGATGTGGTGGGATTCTCCAAGTGATGAGTTTCCCAGCCTTGGCTTCTGGGGTCCCTCCAGTCAGGGGAACCAGCCGGGCTAGGCGTCCACTCTGTGGGAGCCCCGCGTCCGGGGCCTGGCCCCACAACACGCCCCGCTGAGCCTGGGTGCTGAGATGCATGGGACCAGGAGCACACGGAGCCAGCGGCCCGCCGGGAGGGGCGGGAGAGAAGGCCCCCACCGGTGTCCTGGGTCCAGGGCGCGCTGAGAGAGGCACCAGTGAGACCCTGGGTGCTGGGGACCCCGGGACCTTCTCCAGAGGATGAAGCTGGCCTGTCAGCACACATCCTTGACTTCCGCCGCTGGTGTCACCTGCAGAGTGGGGGCTGCGGGCATGGGCTCGGGCGGATGGACTCGGGACAGAACAGGACTGGGTCCCTGGCAAGGGGGCAGGGGTGCCCCGAGCGGCTCCACACAGGGGCCCTTGGCACCACAGTGCCTGTAACCCGCCAGGCCCCTGCGAGTTCCCTGAGGTGGGGGCCAAGCGCGGCACATGGCCCGAGGCACAGGGCCAGCGACTGCCTCTCCCCTGCAGCCTGCGGCCATCAGGGCTCTCCCAGCCCCCGACAGCCTCTCCTCTTGCCAGTCCCACCCCCCCCCCCCCCCCCCCCCCCCCCCCCCCCCCCCGCCACCGTTCCCTAGTGAACACCGGCCTGGGGTAGCCTCCCCCTGCAGACTCCTGTCCCAGAGAGTCACATGGAAGACTTCCTCACGGCATTCAGGGCTCGGCGCCAATGTCACCCCTCAGCAAAGCTCTCTCTGCGCGCTTCCCATCTACGGCAAGCTGCACGCCTCCTCCCTCACGGACTGGCTGTGTCACTACCCTGGCGCTGTCTTCCTGGAACCTCACACCATCCGCCGTGATCGGGTTTGGTCACGTGTGCTTCTGGCCGTCGGCCGCCTCCCAGGCCCGTGAGTGGCACGCTTGCTGGCTGTGGGACCGAAGGGTTGATGGAGCGCTAAAGGGAGGGGTGGAGGTCACGTGTGCAGGGGGGGTTCGCACTGGCCCCTGGGGTGCCCGGCGGGCCACCCAGCACGCTCTGGCGGCTGGCACGTGGGGCATCCGCGCAGGGCCTGCGGCTGCAAGGCGATCGCAACGACGGGCCCGGTATGAGCCCGGAGCTGTGGCGTGGACGCCCCTGGAGGTGCAGTGCGGGTTCCGTCCCCCAGGCCGGCTGCATCGAGGGAGGCCCGCTCCTCTGCCTGCGTCTCGGGGCTCCTCGTGGCTGTCCTTAGCCCCAGCCCCCAGCCCGCCCACACAGCCGCCCCCCCTTTCCACCCAGCAGTCGCCATCCCAGCTAGGTCCAGCCTGGGGCTGGGGGTACCTCCCTGGCTCTCAGTCATCAGGAGACGACCCTACAGGACACACAGGCCCTGTGCGTCCAGAGAAGGTTCCAGAGGGGGCTGCGGGGATCAGAGGAGCTCGGCCGCAGGACAGGGGACGCTGTGGGGAAGGCCTTGGGGGGCAAGTGGGGGTGCAGGGGGAAGGGTTCTCAGCGTGCTGCTTGCGGGCCAGAGGGAGCCATTGGCAGAGGTGACCCCTCGGCTCACCTGTGGGCCGGGGTGGGGGCGCCCCGGGAGGGGGCCGAGGGGCCCACTGAGAAGGGCTCAGCCATCCTTCCCATCCCCTGCCCAGGTTGTAACCTGCAGGCGCCTCTCGTCCCTCCCACCCTGCCCTGTGTCCCCTCCTCCAGCTGCTGGCTCACACATGGCCCCTGAGCGACAGGCTGGGGAAGGACTCGGCCTGGCTCTGAGCCGTCGGCGTTCACACCTGGGGTGATATGGCTTCACCCCCAGCCCTGCCGGATCCCACTGAGCCTGTGTGAAAAAAAGTGGGAATAATAGTCACGCGTGCCTCCCGGGGCTGCCGTGGGCATCAAGTGACACTCTGGGGGTGAAGCTCCCACAAATGGGAGATGTGCTCACATACACCCTTCTGGGGCCCTGAGGCACAGGCGGGTCACCCGGTCCTTCGGCAAGTTCATCTTTATTGCGTCACACATAGACTGGCCTGCAGAGGCACCAGCCCAGCACCGGGGGCTGCAAACCCCAGTTCCAGGAGCCCCAGAGGCCCCCACAGGAACCCCCGGGGGTAAGTGCACCCTGGGACGCAGACTTGGATGTTGGGTGAGGAACGGGGAAGCCAGGCTCTGTCCCCGGGGGCTCACAGGCTGGCGGTGGGTGGGGGTGAGGGCAGCTTGAAGCCCATGGGGGACACTCGAAAGGTGGGGCCTCGGCGTCCTAAGCCGGGAGATGTGGGTATGGGGTGGCTTCCTGAGGGGGAGGGGCCAGAGCAGGTGCCTGAGGACAGCGGGCGGGCTGTCAAAGGCAGCTGTCGAGGGAGGGTTTGGGGAGGGGGGTTCCTATAAGAAGCTGGCAGCCACAGGGAAAGGGCACACATGGCTGTGGCCGCGAGGCTGGCTGCCCGGTTAGGCGAGGCCCAGGGAGACCAGCGCGTCCACCAGTGGACACAGAATGAGCAGCATGGCAGGGAAGAGGAGCCCGGCACGGCTTGGAGAGAAGTTTCTGGTGTCCGGGGCTGAGCCCCGGATGGTGCTGGCAATCCATGCAGTGTAGACGCTGACGTTGATGTACACCCCTGGCCTTTTTGGGAGGGCGCAGTCAGATCCCCAGCTCACAACGCCTGCCTGGGTCCAGACTCCACCAATGTCGCAGACCAGGGGGCCTCCCGAGTCACCCTGGAGAGAAAGGAGGAGTCCAGAAGGGGAGGGGCGTTCACAGGGGCCTCCCTTCAACACCCCTGGCTAGGTCTAACACACGGGTTGGTGTGGGCTGGATGTTTCTGGAAGGCAGCAGAGGTCTGCCAATTAGGGGGGAAACCACTGGCATATGGGACAAATAATGTGATGGAAAAACCATAGTCTCTAAATAAAACCGTGCATTTCAGAGCCAGGGAGAAGCACCTCTGTGTTCTTTTTGATGAAACCATCTGTGATAATACTAAGGGCACATGAGATAAAGTGTGTTTGGCTTATGAAAGCAGACAAGGAGGGGCGCCTGGGTGGCTCAGTCGGTTACTCGTCTGACTTCGGCTCAAGCTGTGATCTCGCAGTTCACGAATTCGAGCCCCGCTTTAGGCTCTGTGCTGATAGCTCAGAGCCTGCAGCCTGCTTCAAATTCGGTGTCTCCCCCTCTCTCTGCCCCTCCCCGACTGGCTCTCTCCTCTCTCTCCCTCTCATAATAAATATTTAAAAATTTTTTTAAATAAAAAAAAGCAGGCAAGGAAAGACCAAACCAACTCAGCCCAGAAGTGACCTTGCTCCTCAGGACAATTTGCTCAAAGGCGCTGAGTGTTATTTTTTGGAAAGAAAAAAAGAAAAAGCCCAAAGGGCCAAAAAGAAAAAGATTTAGGGATAGAGAAGATGGTCACAATTTGTTTAAGCATGTTTGCAAGTATTTCACGTTCTGATGATGTTGAGGAGATGTTTAAGTGAGACAGAGTCCGGGAACAGATTTTTTTCTTTTCAAATTGACCCTGGTATGTATGTATGTATTTGAGAGAGAGAGAGAGAGAGAGAGAGAGAGAGAGAGAGAGAATCCCAACCAGGTTCTATGATGTCAGTGCAGAGCCCAATGCGGGGCTTGATCCCACGACCCTGGGATAATGACCTGAGCCGAAATCAAGAGTCAGACGCTCAACCCACTGAGCCACCCAGGCGCCCGACCCTAGTGTTTCAAACAATGCGCCCTCCCCCACCCTGGGGGTCCCGGGGGTGATGACGACTGGGAGACCCCGGCCCCACGGGGGGTGGCTCGCTCACCCCGCAGGCATCCTTCTGGCCGCTCTCGAAGCCGGCACACAGCATGTCCTGGAGGATGGCGGACCCCGCGCCCACGGTGCCGGGACTCTCCAGGTAGTAGCTGTTACACGTCTGGGCGTCGATGAGGGGCAGGTGCAGCTCCTGCAGGGTGAAGGGCGGAGGGAGCGCTGCGGGGAGGAGCGGAGCGGAGCTCAGAAGGGGGGTGACCGCCCCCTGGCTCTCAGCCGCTGCGTGTCACATCTGCCTGTCACCACCCTGCTGCTGCAGGCACGATGGCCTGCATTTGTATTCGGGAATCCCTGGCAAACCTGCCCGGGTAGCAGGCCGAACCGTCGGCGCAGATGCAGGTCACTAGGAAGAGCCGCTGCTCTCCCCAGGGTCGGCCTCCCGCACAGGCCCGGGCGGGGGGGCAGGCTGGACACACAGTGAGCTGTGCGACAAGAGCCACGCCCCTGGCCATACAGTGTGGCTGTCGCTTCCACCGAATGATCCCTCTCTTCCCGGCTCCCCAAGGTTCAGGGCAAAAGCGGCTTGAATGTTGCCTCTCAGAAATTCATGTCGGGGCACCTGGCGGCTCGGTCAGTTGAGCGTCCGACTCGACTTCGGGTCAGGTCGTGATCTCATGGTTCTTGACATCGAGGCCCGAATTGGGCTGTGCTCAGACAGGGCGGAGCCTGCTTGGGATTCTCTCCCTCCCTCCCTCCCTCCTTCTCTGCCTCTCCCCCACTTGTGCACGCTGTTTCGCGCTCTCTCTCTACGGACATAAATAAACTTAACAAAAATCCATGTCCACACAGCACACCTCAGAATGTGACCTTCTGTGGAAATAAGGGTTTTGCAGATTAATTAGTTAAGATGAAGTCGTGCTGGGTGGAGGCGAGCCAGAAAAGGACACACAGAGGAGAGGCCGTGTGGAGATGGAGGCAGGCCCGGGGGAACGCGGCCATCAGCCAAGGAGCCCCAGACCCGTCCGGGAGCCACCAGAAGCTGGAAGGAGTGGGAAGGACCCTTCCCTGGAGCCTTTGGAGGGAGCCCCGCCCTGCCAGCAGCATCTTGACATCAACACCGTGGCCTCCAGAGTCATGAGAGGCTACACTGTGTTGTTTCAAGCCCCTCAGTTTGTGGGAATTTGTTACGGCGACCAAGGAGGAGGTGCTGCTACGGTCTGCTGACGGAGGTGACGGCTGCCGGGACACTGTGTGTCGAGAATGTCCTCCCGCCCGGCCCTGTCAGGAACCCCTGGGACGCGTCACTCCGTGTAACCCTCACGTTGACCCCATGAGGTTACTGGAGACACTGCGTGTCAGAGGGGGGAAGCCACAGCCCAGCGAGGCTGGCGGTCACCCAGCCAGGACTGAGCCAGGCGAGCAGGCCCTGGCTCGAGGGCAGGGGTCATGTGTGGATTCTGCAGACGTATAAGGGGCCCCGGCACTGGGCGCTCCGAATGTTCCTGGCCCCAGTGGGGGCCGGCATTGCGGAGCCCTGTCGGGGCCTGGCTTTAATCCTTTGCGTCCTACGTGCTGGGAGAGCAGGCTGCTCCTTCACGGTCGTGGCAGTATTTCAGCGGCCGCCGTCTGCCGCGAGCGGGCTCCGTGTTCATCTCGCGGGAGTGTGGTGGCAGGTGCAGCCGGTCCTAGGGAGGGAGGCCCTAGGGAGGGCCCGTCAGCACTGGTGGCCCCCACCCCCTGCCACACTCTCTGGGTGTCCTTACGTAGGCTCGTGGCGACGTTCCCCCAGCCGGTGACCCAGCACCAGGTGCCGTGACCCAGGGGGTCTCCAGGTTTGGGGAGGCAGACCGGAAGGATGTGGCCACTGAAGGTGACAGGTGAGGCCAGCCGCACCAGGGCGATGTCCGCTCTGTTGTTCTCCTCCCAGTACTCGGGGTGCGTGATGACCTGGGCCACCGCGTGGAGCTCCTGGGGGTCCCCGGCCTGGGGGTAGGAGGAGATGGAGCCCAGCAGCACCAGGTAGCTGGACAGCGGCTGCTTCCTGGAGATGGGCGAAAGCACCGGGGTGTGAGGGCTGTGCCCGGGTCCCACGGCCAGTGACCAGGGACCACCTCGAGGTGGGAGTCCCGGCACTGCAGACGGACGGCTCTGCGAGCTGTGCGCCGGCCCGAGATGAGAAGCGCCCCGCCCGGTCCCGCCGGCGCACCCACGACTCCCTCTGGCGACTGTGCAACAGGCTGGGGAGGTGGTCACCCGCCCAAATGCCGCCCTGCGGTGAGCGGTGGGAGTGAGCCCTTGGCTTCTCCAGGGGTGTTCCCATGTGGGGGCCTTTGGTTTCTGGGAAGTGAATCCTTTCTTGGCAGATGGACAATGGGAGGGCCGGAGGGTCTGTCTCTTTCCCCGCCCCCCCCAGCCCCTAGGTGCCCAGCGCTGAGGACAGGGGCATCCTGGTTGGACAAGTGACAACATTCCCCCGCCCACCTCCAGATGGCCAGAAGGCTGTGGTTCACCTGGGGGGCGGGGGGCAGGTCCTGGCCACACCCCCGTGCCCCCCGGATACTCACTGGTCGAAGCAGTGGGCTGCAGTCAGCACCCAGTCCTCGGCGAGCAGGGAGCCCCCGCACACGTGCTGTCTGTTCTCCCTCAGGCTGACCTGCCATGGCCACCGGCCCGGCTGGGCGTCCTGCCCAGACACGATGCGGCCTGACACGTGTGGGCGTCCGCACACTGCGGGGTGAGGCCGCGGGCTGGTCATCTGTGGTCCCCTCTGGGCGCCCCGGGCCCCGCACACCTGCCCTCACTGTCCCAGCTGGTCCCTTCTCTTCTGCTCCACGAAGCCCGATTCTTTGTGCTGTAGGACCCTGTGCTCCGGGGGCCGATGGGGGCCGGGGGGGGGTGGGGGGCAGCAGCTGAGAGGCGGGAAGTGGGCCCGGATCTAAATGGCTTAGTGACACTCCGTAGGGAGAGGGGCTCCCTGGCCAGCCTGAAGGCAGCACGGGGCGGGGGCTGAGGTCTGGGGTGGCTGAAGGAGGGTCCCCTCTCCCTCTCTGCATCTGGGGTCCTCGGAGGACCTGCCCATCACGGGCTAGAGGGGGCGGGGCAGGGATCACACATCTGCTTTATCTGCTCCTCCTGCGGTGCTGTCTCTGCACCCCAATATTCGTCCTACCTGAATCCAGGCCCATGGTGCTGGCATTCTCCAGGGAGGGGTCGGACGGGAGACCCGGGGGGCTCCCCTGGAGAGCCACGGAGAGGAGGGAGAGCAGGATGGCAGTGAGGGCCTGCGACATGCTGTGTCCCAGCCACTGCTTCCGGGCTGGCTCTTGGGGTCAGAGTCCTCAGACACCCAGGGGGAGAAGATTGCCACAGGCCAGCCCAAGTTCTGGGCTCGCCCTGGGGTGTGGCTGACTCCACGCCTTGTCCTCGGGACTTGGCTCCCACACTGCTCCTGGGCACAGGGTCCTTGGCCTCCTCCACACCTTTGACCAGACCCTCGGGACCTTCTCCCCTGCCCTGGCCTCACAGCACCAAGCACCCCACCGCTTATGGGGGACTTACTGTGTGCCGGCCAGTGTCAACCACGTCCGCGTTCCTCCTGACCGATTCCGCAGGCGCTATTACGCTCCCCCTCCGGTCTTACTCGAGACTCCCATGGTTGAATGACTCGCCCGAGGCGCTGGACAAAGTCAGCTAACTCTACTGTGCTCTGTGCGGTGTGCCTGGTCCCTGAGAGGAGGAGGGGCGGGAGAGGAACCGCAGACCCCAGCCCACACCCCACTCTGCCCCCCTCAGTTCTTTTTCACCCTCGGGGCTCTGAAGGGCCCGAGGTGGGGCCAAGATGCCTGGAAAAGGAGAGGGACCCGTGATTCACGAGGTGGAGCAGCTGGAAGAGACGGCCCTGACCGCATGCCCTTGCCCTGGCCTGGCCTCACCTCTGTAAAGCACCGTGGCCCGAGAATGCACAGCTGACCAGCCTGGGACACTGAGCAGGGAGGGATGCTGGAGACCTTTCCTGGATTCTTAAGTTTTCCCCTTTTCTGGAGAAGTACCCATCCTTTTTTTTTTTTTTTTTTTTTTTTAGTACCCATCCTTTCTGAGGCCCCGCTCAGCCTAGCCTACATACAGCTCCCCCTCCAGAAGTCTCATTACCCCTGAGCAGCACTAAATACTTGATTTAGGTCAAAATCATGTTCAGTGAATAATTTGGTGTTACTGCCTTTTCCACCTATCCGATCTCTTGAGTTCTGAGGGGGAAAAAACTTGAATTTATCCATATCTTGAGTATTAAGAATTGTTGTTGTTGTTGGTTTTTCCTTTATGTATTTCAAAGCTCTGTTGTTGGGGTCATAAAAGTTCATGCCTCCTATCTTTTCAGTGCCTTGTAACATGTCAGTGTAAAATATCTCTGTATTTCATTCCTTCCTCCCTGCAAAGCTTGTTTATTTATGGGTTTATCAAACCCATGAGCAGTGAGATCATGACCTGAGCCGAAACCGAGTCGAATGCTTAATGAACTGAGCCACCTGGGTGCCCCCCGCACCCGTATTTCACTCTTGAGTCTGTTAGTCTTGGGTTAGCTTTTATCTTGTATGCAATTTTGTCCCCAATTTATTTACACGTATATAAATATAAATATATATGTAATCAAAATAAAACAAAACATTTAGAAACAAATTACAAAAAACTCTATTCTTCCACTACTTATGCTTGCCCTGATTGGAATTTGCTAGAATACTCGTACAATAGGAAAGCACTTCCGTTAATAGTATTGTTGATTTTGGTGATTGCAAAAGAAGCTTAATGGGATTCCCTGATACCCTCCGGGGACCAAGGCACATCCTGCCTGCTTGAGATTTTTTTCCTTTAGTTGGGTCCTCGAAATTCTGTTTGAGAACTCCTAGATTATCAGAATTATGTAAGAGCGGAGTAAGTCTGATTTAAGGACATGACAAAGGGACTTATCATCATCGAGTGTTACTTAAAACTCACACCCACTCAGTAACCCTTTTTGTGTCACAGGTAACCGGTCAGCTGTCGACTGTGATACCGAGGAGGTAAAATACGCATAGCCGTGTGCTCTGGTCGGAATGTTTGTGACCCTCCCCCCCCCCCATGTTCCTGTATTGAATCCCTATGTTGAGGCCCCAGGGTGATGTGTTCAGAGGTGGGCCTTTGGGAGGCGATTAGGTCAGGAGGGTGGAGCCCTCACGCATGGGACCAGTGCCCTTATAAAAGAGAGGCAGAGCACTCCTTCAGCCATGTGAGGACACAGGGAAACAGCAGCAGCTGTGAACCAGGAACGGGCCCTCACCAGACACCTTGACCTCAGACTTCCAGTCTAGGAACCGTGAGAAATAAATGTTCATTGTTTGTAAGCTATCCACTCACTTTATGGCATTTTGTCGCCCAGCAAAGCATTTGACTCAGAAATGATATCACATCCCTGTCTTCCAGTGGGTTTATTCCACTCCTCATTTCTGCTGAGCTCGTGGTGGGAACTAGCCTCCCCGAGGATTTACATAAGTTAGGCCAGTTCACACCCCAGCCAGATGCCTGGGACATCTGGTGTCAACACCACGACGCACCTGCCTGTCTGCTGCCGGGGAGTCTAGAGCCTGGCCTTCTCTCTGTCTTTTCTCAACCCGTGATTTTGTTTTACTGAATACATTTTTTGCTTTGTTTTAATTTTTTTAACGTTGTATTTATTTTTGAGAGACAGAGTGCGAGCAGGGGAGGGGCAGAGAGACAGGGAGACCCAGAATCCGAAGCAGGCTCCAGGCTCCAAGCTGTCAGCACAGAGCCGAACGCAGGGCTTGAACTCACGAACGATGAGCTGTAGTTAGACGCTCGACCGGCTGAGCCACCCAGGGCCCCCTTTTCCTGCGTAACTCTTGGTGAGTGTTTGTAAACACCCTCGAAAGAACTTTCTGAGAACACCAGTTAGGATCCTCCAAGTTGTCTGCTGCTCCGTGTATTTATTCTCTCAGTTTTCTTTGAAGACGGTCCATGTATTCAAATAGATGGTTCTAGTGCGCGTGTGCATTTTCCTCCAACGCTGCTGTGCCCTCAGTGGCTGAGCAGTAACAGCAGGTTAACTGACCAGGCCAAGGATGACCTGGCCCTCGACCAGGTCCTAGGAAATCACCCCGAGCCTTCGCAGTGTCTTGCTTGCAGAGAGTGTCCGTGTAGACCAGGAGCCCTTGTGCCACTCCAGGTATTTCATGCTAATAGCGCAAGTGATGGTACCGCCTTGGGCCACGCCGTGTCGCCTGGACCACAGGAGGTGCCGACGTCTGAAGACTCCGGCCACGCGGGCGGTCCACCGTGCCTATGAGCTGGAACCCCAATAACAAAAACTCCAGACACCTCGGCTCACACAAGCTTCCCTGGCTGGCATCTCTTCACGTGTGTTGTCACACGTCATTGCTGGGAGAATTAAGCTCTGGCCGTCTGACTCCTTGCCAAGGGGAAGCTGGAAGCTTCCACCTGGTCTCTCCTAGACTCTGCCTCTATGCCTTTTGCAGTTGCCGATACTCTCTGTACCCCTGTAGTGAACCAAACCACGGGGATAACAGCCTCTCTAAGTTCTAGGAGTCCTTGTCGCAAATCACCACTCTGAAGGTGGTCCTGGGGACCCCAGGTCAGTTGTCCCTTCACATCTATAACTGAAGAGACAACCCGATGACTTGGGCGCCCCGCAACAGTGCGCGAGGCAAAGGCGGGGTGCCTGTGGGCTCTGCGGAGAGGCTGGGGCCAGCTGGGGGCAGCAGGCAGCGGGCGCAGAGCCCTCCGCGTGGCCCAAGCCAGGCCCTCCACTCGGCTCCGGTAAAGGACCATCGCTTTTAGCGGCAGCCCCATGCAGGCCGCCTCCGGGCCCTTAATGAGGACTTGCTCTCACAGGGCTCGTCCTGGGGGCCAGCCTTGGCCCGGAAGAAGGGGTGGGCGGAGGAGAAGGGGCAACAAGCCGGGCAGCCAGGATCCCAGGGGTGCAGACAAGAAGGACTGTCTGGGTGTACGCTGTGGTTGGGGTACCCAGCTCAAAGCCTTGGGACCCAGAAAGGTCCAACGGGGGCGAGGGTGGGCCAGCGTTCCCTCTCCCCCCAGGGGGCGCCCGGGCCGGCGGAAGCCGAGGGGGGGCCACGAGGCGGCAGAGGCGGCCATGGGCGCGCGCGTCCGGGCGCTGCTGCTGGCGCAGCTGTTGGTGCGAGCGGAGCTCCAGACGCAGGGTGAGCTCAGGCGGGGGCTGCGGGCCGCCCTGGGGCCGGTGGGGGGCGGCGGGGGCGCGTGCAGACCGGGGGGGAGCTCACCTGGCCGCCCGCCCGACCCGCAGAGGTTCAGGATCTGGACCAGCTGTTTCCAGGTAAGGCGCCCAGGACGCGCGCTTTCCAGCGCAGGGCACCCGAGCCGGAGCGCAAGGGGCGCCTCAGCTTTTCCTCTCCTCCTCGCAGGTTTCGAGAACTCGTCGTTGCTCACGTGTAACTACCGGGCCCCATGGGGGAGGGGAGAGGAGGGGCGGGGCCCGCACACCACGTGGGGAGGGCCCCGAGGTCCCCTGGTCCGTGGGCTGCGCGTCCCCGACGCGCGCGTTCTCCCGGGAGCCCCTAACACTGGCGCGCGCGGGCGGGGTCCTGCAGCTCAGCGGTGTGTCCGTCTGTCCGTCCCAGGGCCCTGCGGCCGCCGAACTATTTCCATGCGCGTGGTGGGCGGAAAGGACTCGGAGCTGGGGCGCTGGCCGTGGCAGGGCAGCCTGCGTTTACGGGGCTCCCACCACTGCGGGGCCACCCTGCTCAATCGCCGCTGGGCGCTCTCGGCCGCGCACTGCTTCCTAAAGTGAGTTTGGGGGCGAGCGGTCAGGGGGGACCAGTCCTGCGCGCCTGACCCGGGCGGATTCGGCTCTCACATTTCTCCTGGGCCCCAGGCCCGGCTGCAGCCACGTGGGAAAACCCTGTCCGTTTTCTTCCAGAACGTTCTTCACAACCTTCCCATGTGCTTTGTGTCCAGGTCTTTTCTGTGTTCTCCCCAAATGGCAGTACCAGCCGCCCCCTCCTCATCCCGCCTCCCGTGCTCTGTACCACTGGGCAAACAGAGGTGGGGAGGGTCTGGGCGCGGAGCTGGCCTGCCTCACCGCGGTCAGGGGGGAGCTATTTTGATCCGACCTTCCCAGTCCTGTGCATCTGTTCATTTTGTTGTTAAGTTTTTTTAAATCTATTTTGAGAGAGCCCCTGCAAGCACAGTCGGGGGAGGAACAGAGGGAGGGGAGAGAGAGAATCCCAAGCAGCCTCCCAGCTGAGCCTGCCCGATGCAGGGCTTAAACCCACAAACCTTGAGACCGTGACCTGAGCAGAGATCAAGAGCGGGACACCCAGCCGGCTGAGCACCCCCACCTCCCCGGGCGCCCTGTTCATTCTGTGTTAGGATTGCTGGGGGAGGTGACAGGCCGGTGAGTGACCGGCCAGACCACACCTGAGGGGCCGGCGCCTTCCTGCCCCATCCTCACACCCCCACGTCCCTGGGTGCTGGGACTTTGGCCCATCTGCCCTGGGCGGCCATCATTCCACGCTGGGCACCGTGGCCTGTGAGCGGAAGCGCCGACCGTGTCCGGGATGGGCCCTGGCCCTGCCCCAGCGGTCCCGCCTCGGGGAGTGCCCCCCCATGTGCGCTCGGGGGGCCCTCCCCCCTCTAAGGACCCTTGTCTGCTCTCTCCTCCCTCCCCAGGCACAAAGACCCCTCGAAGTGGATGGTTCAGTTTGGTGAGCTGTCCTCCAGGCCACCTTCCTGGAAACCGTGGGCCTTCAACCATCGCTACAGGGTGACAGATATCGTTATGTATCCCCAGTTCAGCGGGACTTCACTCAAGGACATCGCCCTGTTGAGGCTGGCCTCCTCCGTCACCTACAATAAGTACATCCAGCCCATCTGTGTCGCGGCCTCTTCCTCTGAGTTCCAGAACCGGACCGACTGCTGGGTGACTGGCTGGGGGAACATCGAAGAACATCAAGGTGAGGCTGGGGGTGGGACCGGGGGGCTCTGTGCTCCCCCGTCTGTTCTGTCCACACCTGCTTCGGGAGCCCCCACCCGGGTCTGTGTGCAGCTGGGTCGCGCCTGGGGGCTGCTCAGAGCAGGACGTCCTGTCCCCACACCCCGTTCCCTCTGCCTTCCAGAGACTGTGAGCCGGAAGCCACAGTGAGAGGGAGGCCAGCTGGGCCCAGGCGAGCACTCCCCACCCGGCCTGCAGGAGTGTGGAAGTTTCTGGGGTGAACTTGTCAGAAAGGCTTTTTGTATTTGGGGTTTTTTAATTGAAATGTAACTCACAAAACCTAAAATTCACCATTTTCAAGTATACAATTCAGTGGCTTTTCGTGTAATCGCAGCTGTGCAACTGTCCACGCTGCCTCGCTCCGGAACAGTTTTATCACCTCCAAATGAAACCCCGTACTTATTAGCCTTTACGCCAGCTCCCCTGGCAGTCACTAGTCTGCTTCCTGTCTCTGGGGATTCCCGGACTGTGGCCATTTCGTAGAGATAGAGCCCTACAACGTGTGGCACCTTCACGCAGCACATTACAGGCTCATCTACGGTCTAGCATGTACCTGTACCCCATTTTGGGGGAGGGGCTTAATTCGTAGAACATTAATCATCTTATTTCTTTAGAAGAAATTTTTTTAAGTGTTCTTTATTTTGAGAGGGAGAGCAGAGAGAGGGAGAGAGAATCCCAAACAGGCTCCACACCGTCAGTGCAGAGCCAGATGCAGGGCTCGAACCCACGACCACGAGATCATGACCCGAAATCAGGAGTCAGACACTTAACCAGTTGAGCCACCTAGGCGTCCCTAAATTAATCATTTTAAAGTACATAATCCTGTGGCATCTGATTTAGTACACTCACGGTATATAACCATGAACTCAATCAAGTTCCAAAACATTTTCATCCCTCCCGGAGGAAATCCGACAATCACCGAGCCGTCACTGCCCCTCACCCTCTCCTTCCAGCCTTTGACATCCTCTCCAACGAGCCTTTTGTCTTTATGGACTCACCTATTCTGGATTTTTCATGTACATGGATTCATACACTGTGTGACCTTCTGTGTTTGGCTTCTTTCATGTAGCGTGACGCTTTCGAGATTCATCCGTGTTCTAGTACGTATCAGAATTTCTTCCCTTTTGATGGCTGAAAAATAGTTCATCCTATGGATAGACCACAGTGTATTTATCCCTTCTTCCCCGGATGGACTTTTGTGTTGTTGCTACCTTTTGCATATTGTGAATAGAGCTGTTATGAACATTTACATACAAATTTTTATTTGAACATCTCTTGTTAATTCTTTTGTGTGTATATTTAGGAGTGCAGTTGCTGGATCACATGGTAATTCTATGTTTTAACTTTTTTTTGAGGTTTTTATTTTGAGAGAGAAAGAGCGTGCGCGCACAGTCGGGAGGGGCAGAGAGAGAGGGAGAGAGAGAATCCTAAGCAGGCTCTGCATTGTTAGCACAGAGCCCAATATGGGGCTCAAACTCATGAACCGTGACATCATGACCCGAACTGAAATCAAGAGTTGGACTCTTAACCGACTGAGGCCCCCCATGTTTAACTTTTGGAGGAACCAAGAAACAGTGTTTGAAACACCTGCGCCATTTTACACTCCCATCAACAGCAAATGAGAATGAAAACTTCTCCCCATTCTACTCAACACTTGTTATTTCCTTTTCCCCCCCATCCTGTGGATGTGAAGTGGTATCTCATTGCGGTTTTGATTTGCATTTCTCTGATATGATCAATGATATTGAGCATCTTTTCATGTGCTTGTTGGCTGTTAGTATATCTTTCTTGGAGAAATGCCTATTCAAGGGCTTTGCCCATTTTTGTAATTTTATTTTTTTAATGTTTATTTTGAGAGAGAGCGAATGCACAAGCAGGGGAATGGTAGAGAGAGAGAGCGAGAGAGAGAATCCAGGCAGGCTTCACGCTGTCAGCACAGAGCCTGATGCAGGGCTCAAACTCACAAATCATGAGATCATGACCTGAGCTGAAATCAGAAGTCAGACACTTAATGGAATGAGCCCCTCGGGTGCCCCTGCCCATTTTTAAATTGAGTTGTCTTTGTTGTTGAGTCATAATCGTCCTTTATATATTCTGGATAATAAACTCTCATCAGATATATGATTTGCAAATATTTTCTCTCATTGTGTAGATTTCTTTGCACTTTTGTGATAGTATCTTTTGATGCACAAAATTTGTAAAATTGTGTGTGATCAACTTTAAATTCTTTATTTTCCTTTTTTTTTTTTTAATGTTTTACTTATTTCTAGGAGAGAGAGAGAGAGACAGCGTGAGCAGAGGAGGGTCAGAGAGAGAGGGAGTCACAGACCAAAACAGGCTCCAGGCTCTGAGCTGGCAGTCAGCACAGAGCCCGACACGGGACTCGAACCCACGATCTGTGAGGTCATGACCTTAGCTGAAGTCGGACGCTTAACCAACTGAGCCACCCAGGGGCCCCTAGCACTGTTTGTTGAAGAGACTCCTTTCCCCCGTTGAGTTGTCTCGGCAGCCTTACTGATTGACTACAGATGTGTGGGTTTATTTCTAGACTCTCAATTGTACTCCATCGGTCTCTATGTTCATCCCTATGCCAGGACCTGGGGATTCCTTAGCTTTATAATATATTTTGACATCAGGAAGTGTGAGTCTTCTAACTTTGTTTTACTTGTTCAGTAGTGTTTTAGTTGTTTGGGTCTCTTGGTACTCCATATAAAAGTTAAGGTCAACGTGTCAATTTCTGCTAAAAAGAGCATTGGAATTTGGAGAGGGATTGCATTGAATTTGTAGATTGCTTTGGGGAAGTATTGCCACCTTCATTATATTGTATCTCCAGTCCATAAACATGGGATACATCTCCGCGCATTTAGGTCTTCGGTTTCTTTCAGCAGTGTTCTGTAGTCTTTGCTCATAAGTCTTCCATCGCCTCAATTAAATTTATTCCTAACTGGGGCGCCTGGGTGGCTTAGTCGGTTAAGCGTCCGACTTTCGCTTAGGTCATGATCTCGCGGTTCGTGGGTTCAAGCCCCGCGTCGGGCTCTGTGCTGACTGCCAGCTCAGAGCCTGGAGCCTGTTTCAGTCTGTGACTCCCTCTCTCTCTGACCCTCCCCTGCTCATGCTGTCTCTCTCTCTCCTAGAAATAAATAAAAATATTTAAAAAAAATAAAATAAAATAAATTTATTCCTATTTTGTTATTTTTGGTTTTTTTAATATTTTTAAAATTTATTTCTAGGAGAGAGAGAGAGAGACAGTGTGAGCAGGGGAGGGTCAGAGAGAGAGGGAGATACAGACTCTCCAGGCTCTGAGCTGGCAGTCAGCACAGAGCCCGACACGGGGCTCGAACCCATGAACCGCAAGATCATGACCTAAGCGAAAGTCGGACACTTAACCGACTAAGCCACCTGGGCACCCCCTATTTTGTTGTTTTTGATACTTTGTAAATGAAACTTCTTTTTTTAATGTTTATTTATTTATTTTTAAGAGAGAGAGCGCACAAGCTGGGGAGGGGCAGAGAGAAAGGGGGACACAGAATCCAAAGCAGGCTCCAGGCTCTGAGCTGTCAGCACAGAGCCTGACATGGGGCTCAAACCCATGAACGGTGAGATCATGATCTGAGCCAAAGTCGGACACTCAACCGACTGAGCCACCCAAGTACCCCAGTAGAATAACAGACTTTTGTGATTTAATCATGGATCCTGCAGTTTTGCTGACTTCATGTATTAACCCTAGTCCTCTGTAATGTATTCTTCATGATTTCTTATATATATACGATCGTATATATATGATCATTTCATCTCTGCATGGAGATAGTTTTACCTCTTCCTTTCCAATTTGGACATGCTTTCTTTTTCTTTTCTTTTTCTTTTTTTTTTTTTTGCCTAATTGCCCTGACCGGAACCTCCAGTAAAATGTTAAATAAATGGCAAAAACTTGCATCGTTGTCTTGTTCCTCATCTTAGGGAGAAAGCTTTCAGTCTCTCACCCTTCAGTATAATATCAGCTATGGGTTTTTCACGTATATTCTTTATCATGTTGAGGAAGTTCTTTCTGTTGCCACTAGTTTATTGAATATTTCTGTAATTAAGGAATTTTGGATTTTGCCAACTGCTTTATCTGCATCCACTAAGATGAGTATGTGGGTTTTTTCCCCCTTCACTCTCTTAATGTCTGTAGTACATTACAGTGATTGGGGTTTGTATCCTGAACCACACTTGCATTCATGGGATGAATCACACTTCATCGTGGTGTATAGTTCTTTTAATGTACTGCTGGATTCAGTTTGCTAGAATTTTGAGAATGTTTGCATATATATTATATAATATATATTCTTGCATACATATGTATATACATACACATATATATATATATATTTTTTTTTTTTTTGCATAAAGGATATTGGTCTGTTGTTTCTTTTTCTTGCGATGTCCTTGTCTGGGATTTGGTGTCCCCACAATGCGAGTCCCATGGAATGAGTAAAAAGTATTCTTTCCTCTCCAATTTTTTGCAAGAGTTTAAGAAGGAGTGGTGTTGTGGCACCTGGGTGGCTCAGTAGGTTGAACATCTGACTTCGGCTAAGGTCATGACCTCACCAGTCGCGGGTTCAAGTCCTGCGTCGGGCTCTGTGCTGACAGCTCAGAGCCTGGAGCCTGCTTCAGATTCTGTATCTCCCTCTCTCTCTGACCCTCCCCTGCTCACGCTGTCTCTCTCTCTCTCTCTCTCTTTCAGAAATAAATAAAACGTTAAAAAAATTTTTTTAATAAAAAATTTTAAAAAAGAAGGATTGCTGTTAATTTCTTCAGAGGCTTGGTAGAATTAACCATTGAAGCCCTATGGCCTAAGGATTTTCTTCATTGAGAGGTACCTGATTACACATTTCATCTCTTATTGATCTGTTCAGGTTTTCTGGGTTTTCCTGAGTCAGTTTTGGTGATTTTTGTTAACTAAGATTTGTCCCTTGCATCTGCGTGATCTAATTTGGGGTACACCTGTTTCCTTTATAGTCAGTATTCTTTCTGTCAAGTCACTAGTAATGGCTCCACTTTCATAGTTTTGTTGATCTTTCACAGAAACAAGTTTTGGTTTTGTTGATTTTCTTTATTTTTCTATTCTTGACCTTGATTTTCTCCATTCTTCTCTAGTATTTCCTTCTTTCCTTCTACCTCTGAGTTCAGCTTGCTCTTCTTTTTCTAGTCCCTTAAGCCATAAATCAGGGTACTGGTTTGAGATTTTTCTCCTGTATTAATGTGGGCATTTCCAGCTATATATTTCCTTCTGGGAAGTCCCTGCACTGAATCCCGTAAGTTTTGCTATGTTGTGTTTCCATTTTCATTCATCTCCAAGTGTTTTCTGATTTTCTTTGTGATTTTTTTTTTGATCCATTGGTAAAGCATATGTTGCTGAATTTCCACATATTTACAAATTTTTCAGTTTGTCTTCGGTTACTGGTTCCTAGCCTTAGTCCACTGTGGTTGAAGAAACTGTTTTGTATGACTTCGATCTTTTCTAGTTTATTGCAACTTACTTTGTGGCCTGACATATTGTCCGTCCCGGAGAGTGTCTCGCCACCCCACCCCGTGTCTACCTGAGACGGGTGTGGATTCTGCTGTCGTTGCGGCAAGTGGTTCTGCATATTTCTGTTAGGTCCGGTTAATTTACAGTGTTACTCAGATCTTCTGTTTTCTTGTTGATCTTCTTCCTGATTCTATTCATTATTTTTTTAATGTTTATTTATTTTTGAGACAGAGAGAGACAGCGCAAGCTGGGGAGGGACAGAGAAAGAGGGAGACGTAGAATCTGAAGCAGCCTCCAGGCTCCAAGCTGTCAGCACAGAGCCCAACGCGGGGCTTGAACCCACGATCCGTGAGATCATGACCTGAGCCGAAGTCAGACGCTTAACCGGCTGAGCCACCCAGGCGCCCCGATTTTTGACACTTTTATCCACATCTGATGTCCTTCTTTGACTCTTGTAATAAGTTTTAACTGAAACTCTATTTTGTCTAACATTAAAACAGCAACCTCTGCTCTTTTCTGGTTTTTATTTGTATGGAGTCTCTTTTTCCAGCCTTTCACTTTCAACTGTGTGTGCCTTTGGATCCAAAATTGTGGTCTTGGACACAGCATATAGTTGGAGCCTGTATTTTGAAAATCTTTTTTGGGGGTGGGAGGTGCCCAGGTGGCTCAGTTAGTTAAGCATCCGATGTCACCTCAGGTCATGATCTCCCAGCTAGTGAGTTTGAGCCCCGTGTTGGGCTCTGTGCTGACAGCTGGGAGCCTGGAGCCTGCTTTGAATACTGCGTCTCCCCCTCTCTTTGCCCCTCCCCTGCTTGCACTTTGTCTCTGTCTCTCAAAAATAAATAATAAAACGCTTAAAAAAATAATAAAATCTTTTTTTTCATTACTTTTAGAGAAAGAGAGTGTGATCAGGGGAGGGCACAGAGGGAGACAGAGGGAGAATCTTAAGCAGGCTGCATGCTCAGTGTGGAGCCCAATGTGGGGCTCCATCCCATGACCCTGGGATTGTGACCCAGGCCAGGCTGAAAGGAGGTCTGACATTCAACCAACTGAGCCACCCAGGCGACCCTAGATCCTCTGTTTTTAACCCATTCTGCTAGTTTCTGCTTTTTAATTGCAGTGTTTAACCCATTTACATTAAAACTGACTACTGATGTGGCGCCTGGGTGGCTCAGTCAGTTGAGCGTCCAACTTCGGCTCAGGTTATGATCTCACAGTTCGTGGGTTTGAGCCCCGCGTCGGGCTCTGTGCTGACAGCTCGGAGCCTGGAGCTTGTTTCAGATTCTGTGTCTCCCTCTCTCTCTGACTCTCCCCTGCTCACGCTGTCTCTCTCTTTCAGAATAAATAAAACATTTAAAAAATAAATAAATTTAAAAAACTGACTACTGATAAGTAAGGATTTACTTCTACCATTATTCTATTTCTTTTCTATATTTTGTCACATCTTTCAATATCTGTATATCTTTTTTATTTCCTCCTTTGTGTTTCATTGATTTTTATTTTGTGTTCTGTATATTTTCTTAGTGGTTGCCCTGGGGATTCCAATTAACAACTTAAATTTATTTTTTAGAGACTTTTTTAAACTTTTTTTTTAATTTGAGAGAGAGAGAGTGAGCAAGTGGGGATGGGGAGAGAGAGGAGAAAGAGAGAGAGAGACAGAGAGAGAGAGAGAATGTTAAGCAGGCTCACGCTCAACACAGAGCCTGATGTGGGGCTCGATCCCACAACCCTGGGATCATGACTTGAGCCAAAATCAGTAGTCGCACACTCTGCCCACTGAGCCAGCCCGATCCCCCAACAACTTAAATTTATAACCATCTATGGTGAATTAATACCAACTAAGCTTCAATCATACACAGAAATTCTGTTCGTTATGCAGCTCTTTCATCCCCTATAAGTTGCTGTTGTCAAGTTTACATATCATGCGACCGTTGACAGAGATTTAGAATTGGCTTATGCAGATGTCTTAAATTATAAAGGAAGAAAAAGAAGTGATGACCCAAAACTAATAATCCTCACTCTCCTCTTTCCCCGCGTGGTCACCTTTACCAGCGCTCGCTCTTTCTGCCTTGAATGGACACCGGCCAGCATCCTGGCCAGTTCCCTGCTCCCTTTTCCATTTCCTGTAAGGCAGGTGTGCTAGCGATGAACCTTCTCTGCATTTGTTTACCTGAGAATATCTTAATCGCTGCCTCATTTTCTGAAGGATCATTTTGCCTGATGCAGAATTCTAGGTTGACTTTTATTCTTTCTGCGCTTTAAAAAAATTTTTTTTTAATGTTTTATTTATTTCTGCAAGAGAGAGAGAAAAAGAGACAGCGTGAGCAGGGGAGGGTCAGAGAGAGAGGGAGACACGGAATCTGAAGCAGGCTCCAGGCTCTGAGCTGGCGGTCAGCACAGAGCCCGACGCGGGGCTCGAACCCACAAACCGCGAGATCATGACCTGAGCCAAAGCCGGAGGCTTAACTGACTGAGCCACCCAGGCGCCCCTCTTTGTGCACTTTGAATGTGTCATCCCTCTGCCTTCAGGCCTCGGGGTATCTGAGAAGAATGTGGCCGTAAATCCTGTTGGAGATCTTTCACGTTCATGCAGCCTCTCTCTTGCTGTTGACCAGATTCTCCCTTTGTCTTTTGATACTTTGATGAAAATATATCTCAGTGTAGATCTCTTTGTGTTTCTCCTACTTGGAGATTGTTCGGCTTTTTCAGGATATAGTTTCATATCTTTTTTCAAATCTGGGGCATTTTCAGGGTGCCTGCGTGGCTCAGTCAGCTAAGCATCCGACTTCGCTCGGGTCATGATCTCACGTTTCCGGAGTTCAAGCCCACGTGGGGCTCTGCACTGACAGCTCAGAGCCTGGAGCCTGGCTCAGATTCGTGTCTCTGCCCCTCCCTTGCTCTCTCTCCCTGTCTCTCTCTCAAAAATAAATAAACATTAAAAAAAAAATCTGCAGCGTTTTCAGCCTGGAACCCGCAGGTGTAGTATGTTAATCCTGAACCATGTCTGTGTGTTAGCCCCGCCCCCTGCGCACACTGTGGCTAAGGGAGGTCCCCACTGGCTCAGCCAGGGGCTGTCACCTTCATTCTCCAGATGGGGAAACTGAGTCTCAGGGAGAAGCTGTAACCGCCTGTCCGTGTCTTGGGTCCTTCTGTGATACTGTTCCATCACCCACAGTGTGCAGGGTGCTGGGCTAGAGCAGAGGAGTCATCGAGAGCCATGTCCCGGGCGCTGTAGGGGCCCCAGGAAGCCCAGCCCCCATCCCCCCGCCCCTGTCCCAGCTGGCACAGGAGAGGCTGAAGCTGTCGTCTCGTCTCGTCTCACCCTCAACCCCTGCAGCTCTGCCGCCTCCTTTCCGTCTCCAGGAAGCACAGGTGTCCATCATAAACAACTCCAGGTGTGACTCCCTGTTGCAACAGACCGGTTTCCTCACTCACAGCCTGGATGGTATGATGTGCGCGGTCTTTGAGAACGGCCACCATGACGCCTGCAGGGTGAGCACTCCTGCCCCTACCGGCCACCAGCCGTCCCCGCCTCGGGCCGGGGAGCTGTCTCCATGATGCCCCCGAGTTTACTCAGAGAAAACAACCAGAGGCCTTGTTTATCCAGCTTCGCATTATTTATCTTGCCTTTGATTCACACCTGACACCTGGGGGAGGGGGAAGGGCAGTTAGGGACCGGGGCCCCACTGTGCAGATGCGGAAACTGAGGCTCGTTCACTTCTGGGTGGAGAGCAGGATGTGCATTCAGCCTGCTCGGCTGCACAGCCCCTCCTGCTGTCCCCGCCGCTGTCCCCGCCTCTCCACTAGCCTCTCACCTTCCCGGCACCCGGCGTGCCTGGCTCACCGCGCTGCTCCCTAGGGCGACTCCGGCGGACCCTTGGCCTGTGAGAAGAGAGGGCTGTGGATTCAGGTCGGAATCGTGAGCTGGGGACTGGGCTGTGGGAGGCCCGACCAGCCCGGGGTCTACACCGACGTCAGTACGTATTTCAGCTGGATGCAGGCGCTGATGGCCCGCAGCGCACCTGGGCCAGGTCCCTGTCAGCTGCTCGCACCGCTCGCCGTGCTCTTGGCCGGGCTCCCGCCGCTGCGCTGCACACCCACACTGTGCGGGCACAGTAGTTAGCACAGCACTGGGCACGTCACCCAGCGCTGAGCACCCTGGTGGCACGACAGCTTACTAGCCATCCAGCTCAGTCCCCTTCTGTCCCTTTAATAATAAACGCATTAGCATGTCGGAGTCAATGCCTCGCAGAGCGTTCTGTGGCCCCGGGGGGCTCGCTGGACCCCCTCACGGCCCCCAGGACCAGTCCCGACCTCGAGTCTCGCTCCAGCTGTCTGCACTATTCAGGTTTGGGCGACAAACCGCAGCGCCCTCTCTGGTTAGTTCAAGATCATTTACGGGAGGACGTTAGTGGCCCCAGGCTCGCTGGGGGGCAGGGAGACGGAGCGGGTGCTGTGGGGGGGACACCAGAGCCCCCGGTGCTCAGTCCCCCAAAGGCCGACCCGGGACCAGGACTGGGGTGCGGGCAGTTTATTTGGGAGGTGACATCGAGAAGCCCCAGTGAGGAGTAGGGAAACTGAGGCAGAGAGAGAAGAAACCCGATGGCGTTTGCCCAGATGAGGAGGTTCCTGCTGTGGGCCACAGACGCAGAGTCCTGGTGGGCCCAAGAAACCCCAGGGCCACGGCTCAGCATGGCTCCCTGGGGGACAAGGACCCTGGGAGTGGGCTTCTCTCCTGCCCGGAGCACCCCCGCTGAGGCCGGGTGGGGGGGCGGCACCAGGCAGGCCAGGGCAGGAGGCCAGCAGGGCAGACTCTGGCCTCTTGGAACCGCTGAGGCACATTAGTCCCCTGCGCTCCCCACCCCCCCGCCCCCCACTGTGGGGAGGCAAGGGAGGAGTCTGGAGGTGGGGGGCCCTCACCGCCACGGCCCCACCCCTGACAGCCTCGCGGGTTCGTAGGGCACTGCGCCTGCGCTTCGTGCCCTGTGGCAGGGGAACCCCCCTTCCCCTTCTTAACAGTGAGGAAACTGAGGCCCTGGGAGGTGACAGGACTGTCCTGAGTCACCGCTGCACATGGACCTGCCCGGCACCCCACGGAGGGGCCAGCAGATCCCCGGGTGGCGAGTCCCCACCTGTCCCCGAGGCATGCCGTGGGATCTCCTACAGCCTCCATCCATTTCCACCCCCACCACCCACCCTCCCAGGAGCTGGGACCCGGGGGGCCTCCTCTCCCCTCCCCCGAGGCCCTCCAAGTTACCCCAAGAGGATCACGCGCCACGACGCTGGAGCACGGTGCTGTTCGGTGGCCCCCCCCCAACCTCGGCCACCTTGCAGTGTGCTCCGCGGGACCCCTGGCAGAGCGGGCACTGCCCCTCCGGCGGCAGGCACGCTCGCTTCTGGGGGCCCGGGGCCTGTGTGAGGGGCTCCACGGGGACGCTGGCGCCTGCCTAAGCCCTGATCGCCCACGGGGCCGTGCTTGGAGCCACCTCCCCGAGGCTCGGAAGGATCCCCGCAGCTGCTACAGCGCGCCCCTCCCCGCACCTGCCTCTCCCCAGGCTGACGTGATGTGGGGCTCCGGGGCGGCCACCCCAAAGGGCTGGGGATCTGCTGTGATATTACGCACACGAACCGGACCCTGAAGAGACGCCCGGCTGCCGTCCGCCCTCCCCGGGCCGTGCCCCCCATCCTCCTCCTGCTGCCAGGTACAGAGGGCAGGGCTGGACACTTGTCACACACGAGTCCTGAGCTACAGGCAGTGGGGTGAGCACTGCCACGGTGACGCGCCTGCGCAGGGCAGCAGGCTGGGAGACGCCTTCTCTCCGCCCTTGATGGACTGGGCTTTCGGGCGTCAGGAGCTGTTTGTAGAGCTGTGGTTTTTTGTTTCCACCCTTGGCATTTAGAGACTTTGTAAGCAACGGAATCCCCTAGAACTAGCATGAGTGCAGGAAAGTCATGTCGGGAGAAAGGCAGTCGGGAGAAGCGTAGGGACGCCTTGAATAGGAGCTCCAACACCACAGGGCACTCTTTCTCAGTCTAGAAGGATCCAGGCTCTCGGGCCAGCTGAGAGTCCTCGCCTGTGATCATGGCCATGGCTGCCCCACCCCCGGGCTCCAAGGGGGCCTCTCTCCCTCTGGGGTAGAAGTCCCAGGGAGGGATTCTGGTCGGGTCTGGGTCATGTGTCGCCTATTGACCAATCACTGGGACGATGGCCTCAGATTGGGTCCTTCCTTCGTCCTTTCCTGAGATGGGGGTAGGGGGCAGGTCTGTGCTGGAGAAGGTGGCGCTGACTCAGCTGTGGCCCTGAGAAGGGTAGTTGTGAGTCCGGTCCCTCCCAGGGTAAGTACATGACATTTGCCTAGGGGTCGTTTATATCATGGGACTGAAGGGTAAGCGCTGAAGCGGACATGGGCCCAGCAGGGGTCTGTGCCTCAGTTTCTCAGTCTGACACAAAGGGTGGGTTTGGGGGCCCTTTCCAGGGGTTCTGCTGTCTATTATTCAACCAGTTTTGGCCACTCCCTGCAGAAGCCAGCTTCTCAGAATGAGTGTCGTTTTCCATTCCCCCCCGCCCTCGCACTCACTCCGCTCCCCCTAGTTTCCAACAGGCAGAGACCCAGGTCCCCTGCTGAACAGGCACCCAGCCTTCCGGCCACACCTCCCAGGTCAAGTTTGGGCCTGCCACCGGACCTGGCTGTGTGTCCCCGGGGTTCGCTCTCCCGGCAGCCTCCCCAACTACCCCAAGTCCGCACCAAGGGGAACACCTCCCACCCGGCCCCGCTGCCACCAAGCCCTCCAAGGGCAGCTGAACCCAGGTCAGGGGCCTCGGGAGCACGGGAGGGTGCTGCTTTTATTCTCGTGGCATTTTGATCATGTTTTACATGAGCCAGGCACCAGCCCAAGGCTCTGCCCCAGCTCATCTTCACAACCTTTCACAGGAGAGGGAACCACCTGCAAGGTGTCAGGCCTGGAGGGAGAGCGTGCGCAGCCCAGCATCACCCCAGGGTCGCCAGGGGCCTTAAGCATGGATAGCAGGGCTCAGGCCTGGGGGTGGCCTCCACTCCACATCAAAGGCAGGCACCGGGTGGCAGCCAGGTCCCCTCTCCCATATCCCTTGCCCTCACCCACAGCCTGCTGCCCTGCTCACCCCTTCCACTCATTTTTTCTTTTGTTAAGTTTTTTTTTAATGTTTAGTTATTTTTGAGAGAGAGACAGAGCATGAGTAGAGGAGAGGCAGAGGGAGAGGGGAACAGAGGATCTGAAGCAGGCTCTGCACAGACAGCAAAGAGCCCAGTGTGGGGCTTGAACCCACGAAGCCCCAGATCATGAGTTGAGCTGAAGTCAGACGCTCAACGGACTGAGCCACCCAGGTGCCCCCCTGCTTCGTTCCTTCTTAAACACCCAGTGCCTGCCCTGTGCTGGGCACTGTTCCGGCCATCGGAGGCTGTTCTGGATTGAATGTCTGTCCCAAAATTCAATTTTGGGGTCCAGTGTGACTATATTTAGATACTGGCCCTTTCTGGAAACAGTCAAGGTTAAACTCGGTCATGAAAGTGGGGCTCTGATCCCATAGGCTCTTCTTCTTACAAGAAGAGGTGCCGGAGAGCTTTCACTGGGTCTCAACAGCTCTCGTCCCCGGAGCCACACAGAAGGGGCCACAGGAGCACACGGAGCGACTGCCGCTGCCCTCGCGCCCAGAGCACAGGCCTCAGAGTGGAACCCACCGTGCCCGCGCCTTGTTCTCGGGTTTCTCCGCCTCTGGAACGTGAGACACGTGTCTGTTTCGGTGGCTCAGTGTGGCAGCCTGAGCTGAGACAGACACGGGGGACCACCAGACGAGGGTCACGCCTCCCCCAGCACCTGTCACCGCACACAGCGATCTGGCCAAGGAGGAGTGGTGGCCAGGCAGGAAGGCGCCCCACGAGGCAGGGATGGAGCGGACAACTGTGGGGTGAGGACGAGCTGACCAGGTAGAAAGACGCTCCAGAGCCGTTTGGGTGGAGAACACAGTCCAGCCCCAACCCTCCACCGACCCTCGTTCCGGCACCTTCCGGCTTCACCGATACCAGCAGCCTTGCTGTTCTGGCCACGCCAGATGCAAGAGTGGACTGTGTCCCAAGGTCAAGTCGGCTTCTGCTTCTGGTCACACAAAGAAGGAGTGCTGGCCAGCTTTGAGGCAGCCATTTTCCATGTTGAACAGGTGCAGGGCAGGGTATGGCTGGGGCCCCGCGCGGGCCGCCCCTGGGTTTCTGGACAGAACAGTCACGTCACCAGCTCCAGGGACCTGCGCTGGGAGGAGATGGGAGCCCGGATCAGGTTCACAGATGAGCCGTCAGGGATTCTCCAGAGCTTCCTGGCCTGACCGCAGCTCTCCGCCCCCCGCCCCACCCCTGGCCTTGCCCGGCCCTCAGCAAGCTCTCAGCACCGCGGCCCAAGCTGGGCGTCCTTTGACAAACCTAGGTGTCCCTTTCCTGCCACCTCGAAGGTGCTGCTCAAAGCATCTTTGTTTGAGGCGGGACTGGTGAAGCCACAGCCCCGCCCGGGCCTCCTTAATCACCCCCTGGCCAGGCCCACACTCCTCGCGCCCTTTAAGCCCCCAGGCCCTCCCCCTGCCGGGTCAGCAGGGAGGGCAGCAGCCACGCAGGTAAGAGCAGGGTTCAAGGGCAGCCGGCAGGCAATGGAAACGGGTGGTGGGCAGGGGCCGGGCTCCAGGGCGCCTGTGCAGGCTGGGGGTGCTCAAATCTTGCAGGGGTTGGGGGACGGGCGTAGTGCCCGGGGTGTGGAGAGAGGGAAGTGCTTGGGACCTGTGTCCCGGACAATGTCCAGGACCAGCCGGGGCTGAAGGAACCCAGAGGGCCCGGGACTAGGCCCCTCCTCTCCTCGCAGGCACCCACCAGAGTCCAAACCCTGAGCAGTGCGACCCTTACCTGGCCCAGCCCTGAAGACAGAATGAGGGGGGCCTCCTGCCTCCAGCTCTTGCCCCTATTGCTGCTAGGTGAGTGTGGGGGCAGGGGCTGGGGTGTTCCCCATGTCCGTCTTACCCTCCCCGGCCTCGTTCCCCTGCAGCACTCCAGGACTTCCTGATCTTGGCTTCAAAAGTTCCAGTTCTCTCCGTCACGGACCTTGGGCTCTCCAAGCTCAGATGTGCCCATCTGTGTGAGGGGAGAAGTCCCCACCCCACAGTGCTCTGGGGAGGGTTAAATCGCGTAACCTGTTGATTGCACAAAGGCCTGGCACCGGGTCAGTGCCGCAAATGTGTTTCACCCTCCTTCCTAATCTCTGACCTCCCTCCCCCTCACCCCGTTATCTGACACCAGATTCATAATCCAGTCCCTTCCCTGCTTCCTCCTCCAGGAGCTGCTGGGACTGCGGACTCTACAGGTGAGGAAGCCTCAGAGCCCCTGGCGCCACCCCCTCCCTGACCTCCGCCCTGTGCCTCTCTGATCCCACCCCCCTCCCAGGCCCCCCAGTCTTCCGCCCACCCTTGACCCCCCTTGTCCCCTGCAGCCTGCGGGCAGCCCCAGGTGTCCAGTCGGATCGTGGGGGGCCGGGACGCCCGGGACGGACAGTGGCCGTGGCAGGCGAGCATCCAGCACCGCGGGGCGCACGTGTGCGGGGGCTCGCTCATCACCCCGCAGTGGGTGCTGACGGCGGCGCACTGCTTCCCGAGGTCAGCGGGGTACGGGGGGCGCCGCCAGGCCGGCTCCCAGGGAGGTGGCGGCCCGAGGTGCCGCAGGGGCCGGGGAGGGGCCCCCGTCCGCAGCGCCGCCCCTGTCCCGCAGGCGGGTGCTGCCGTCGGAGTACCGCGTGCGCCTGGGGGCGCTGCGCCTGGGTCCCGGCTCGCCCCGCGCGCTCTCGGCGCCCGTGCGCAGGGTGCTGCTCCCCCCAGACTACTCGGAGGACGGCGCCCGCGGCGACCTGGCTCTGCTGCAGCTGCGCCGCCCGGTGCCCCTGAGCGCGCGCGTCCAGCCCATCTGCCTGCCCGAGCCCGGGGCCCGCCCGCCCCCCGGAACGCCGTGCTGGGTCACTGGCTGGGGCAGCCTCCATCCCGGAGGTGAGGCAGAGGGTTGTGGGGGCGGGGTGGGGGGCAGGGGCTCCTTCTCCACCTCCCTCTGACCGGGAGTCCCCCACCGTCCCGTCGGCGACCCAGCGAGACCTCCAGGAACCCAGACCTCCTCCGGGTCAGACAAGTGGGTCCTCCGGCAGCCCCCACCACTCCTGTTTCCTCCCTCGCCCTCTCCCCCCTCCTCGCAGTCCCCCTTCCTCCCTCCAGTGCCGCTCCCAGAGTGGCGACCTCTGCAGGGAGTAAGGGTGCCGCTGCTGGATGCCCGCGCCTGTGACCGCCTCTACCACGTGGGCACCAGCGTGCCCGGAGCGGAGCGCATAGTGCAGCCCGGGAACCTGTGTGCCGGCTACGTCGAGGGCCACAAAGATGCCTGTCAGGTGCGGCAAGCTGCCCGGGGCCCCTGCAGTCTCACTCCTGTGCCCAGCCCCCTGGGAATGCCATCCCACATCTTGACAGGGCTGAGACCTAAGCCCGACTTTCTCCTGCAGGGTGACTCTGGGGGACCCCTGACCTGTGTGAAGTCAGGGCGATGGGTCCTTGTGGGCGTGGTGAGCTGGGGCAAGGGCTGTGCCCTACCCAACCGCCCTGGCGTCTATACCAACGTGGCCACTTACAGCCCCTGGATTCAGGCTCACCTCACCCTTTAATGCAGTAACCCTGACCTGGAGCCAGAGGCTGGGGTCCGTCTGAGGAGCCGCACGTCCCCCCCCCACCTTGCCCCTTCTCACTTGAGGCTCCCAGGCCTTATGAAGCTAAGGGGTCGTCCGTCTGTCCCCTGCCTCCTTGGAGCTCACCAAGCCCTAGCCACCTGCCTTCCTCCAGGAGCCCCCCCGCCCCTGCGTCCCCGGGTCTCATGCTCCATCCCTCCCCGACCTGCTCATGTTTACTCTTCTCAGCTCCAGCCAGGGGCCTGGGTACCCGGAGGCAGGCAAGCCAGCTGGTGCCCCATCTGGCCCGTGTGTCCTCCTTTTTCTGGAGGAAGTCAGGGAGAGTCACAGTGTGGGAGGCACTGGGGAGATGATTCTCCATTGCTGGCTTTGAACATGGAGGAGCTGCTGGCAAGGAGCAGCAGGAGAGCGCGCCCCCAGGAGCTGAGGGCGCCCCCCACCCCCGCTGCCTGCCAGCAGGGAGGCACCTCTGTGCCCCACGTGCAAGGAAGGAATCTGGTCAACAATCTGAACGAGCTTGGGACCCAGTTCTCCCAACAGCCTCCAGATGAGAGCCCCCCCTACCCCCCCGTCAATGTGCCTGCCAGGCCAAGCCTTGAACCCAGCGGAGCCCACCCAGACCTCTGGCCCCCAGAGTTGTGATTTAATAAATCTGTGTTTCAGACTGCCATGTGGGTAGTCCCTTACTACGCAGCAACAGAAAACGGAGATCGTGCATTGCAGTAGAGGTGCCCCAGGGGTCTGGGTGGGTGTGCCATGTGCTCTACAAGGCGCGGGGTCTGGGGCACCTGGCATCATGCCCTCTGGGCCAGGGGCCCCCAGGCAGGCCTGGCCGGAGCTTCTGCCATGCATAGTGCGTAGTTGTTTCTGTCCTTACAGCCATTGTTCCGCAGAGAGCCTGGGGTTGTGTCCTCCCCAGGGCAGGGGGGCCCACAGGCCCTTTGCATCTCCGGCCGTGTGCTGTTCCCTACCCACCGTGTGTGCCTGGGACCTGGTTCCGGGCCCTTCTCTGCCATCCCCTCATCCCCAGGCCAAAAGACCACCCATCCCAATAGAGAATAGCTGGGGTTTCTAGAACTGCGAAAGGAATGGGAAATGGAACAAAACCACCTGGAAACCCTTAAGCCTGATCTTTGGAGCTAACACGGTCAGGCAAGAAACAGGGGGCGGGGGAGGCCGTCATCAAAGGTGCAGCCTGGTGGGGCAGGCCTGAGGCTCACTTCCTTTTCTCCCAGGTAGCTGCGCCAGGCATTTGCTGCCAGGCCGGCCTGGGTGGCGGGGGAGGGCATGGCCTTGGGCAATGAGGGAGCTCCGGGCTGCCGTCTCCCCCAGGCTGAGGGCCATCCATCTGGGATAGAGCTTCGCCACCCTTGGGGGTGGTAATCGGGGAACAGGGCGTCCAGGATGAACACATGCCTGTGTACGCGTGAGCAAAGGGACCCTGCTGACCGCTGCTGGGTGATGCCGGTCATCTTCTGTCGCTCCCTCAGCCTGGAGCCAGCTAAGGGGCCTTCCCCAGGATGCCTCCCAAGCACGGAGATGGGAATAAGCCAGGGGCTGGGAGCCAGTCTGCTTCAGCCTGGGACTTGCTCTGATTTGAGTAAAGGGTGCACGTTCAGAGAGCCCTGTGTTTCCAAAGTGTAAACTGGGAGCTAAACAGGGGAGCCCAGAAGCCAGAGGAACAGGGTGTGGGCATGGAAGGGAAGGGTCAGCGAATGAGAAGAGAGCAGCTGCCCCTCATCCAGCCCTTACTAGATGCCATGTGGGGGGCTTTGCTGCCCCATCTCATGGGATCCTCACCCGACACTCATTTATCAGATGAGAAAGCTGAAGCCCAAAGTCGTGTGGCTGGTAGAAGGTAGACGGTAGACGGTAGAAGGCAGACGGGGACTCCCACCCAGCTGATCTGCTTCTAGAGGCAGCTGGGAAAGGCGGGGGCGGGACTGCGATTGCCTTTAGTCCCTCCACTTGGTGCCCAGCAGTGCGGGCTGCTGGCTTCCTTTCTCTTGGCCCCTTTGGGCTGCTCCAGCTTCATGGGGCTGGCTCAGTGGCACCTCGCCCTGCGCTGGAGCATCCCGTCGGTCCGCAAGGTCAGTGGGGACGTGGGGGTGACCTGGCCCTGCATGAGCCACAGCTGCCTGACCTATCAGCTGACAGGCCGGGAGGCTGTGCAGCCCGGGAGAAGTGGGGGAGCGCCCGGGGTGGCAACGGTGGTCCTGGGCAGTCCCAAGCACGGGGGGCGCACTGGGCTCCTATCTAAGGCGGGTGCTTCCTGGTTGGTGGTGCTGCAACCGGACAGCCCAGCCTCCCCCAAGAGTACTGACGCGGCCTTGACTTCTTTTCCCTCTGTGATCTGAATTCATGCCGCCCACCGTGTCGGGGCCGCTGGGAGCACTGAGCACGGCTGAGGCCCCCCGTCCTTCTCTGCCCACCGAGCATGCGTGGTGGGCCTCGCACGAGTGCGCTCTCGCTCGCTCCAGGGACACCCAGGAGGTGCTCTCGTTTTTTCAGTTTCATGGCGGGGTGGGGACAGGCCCAGAGAGGTGAAGCGCCCTGCTCTAAGGCCCCACAGTGGTAAGCGGTGGGACGAAGCTGAAGCTGGCCAGCTGACTCAGACCCCACACCGAGTTCTCGCTTGTGGATGTTGAAGTCGTTGTGAACACTCTACAAATGAGACGCACACTTGCCTGCAGTCTACCCCCAACAACCGACCCACCAGGTGGACGGCACCGTGGGGTTCACAGAGACAACCTGAGGAGAACGGCTCAGGTCGGGCAGGCCCCTCGCCGTACTCACCGGCTCCCCCTAGGCTGGGTGACCTCTGACAGCAGACAGCCATAATCAGACACCAGTCATTACCCAAACCCTTGCCCTGTGCTGTGTGCCTTGGCTCATTAATGCTCCCCAATGCTTTATGGAGTTCAACTGTGTGTCGGTCCCTTTCACGGCCGGGAAAACAGGTGGGGGCTCACTGCCCTGCCAGAGACTGCAGTTAACGAGCTGATATTTGAACCCAGGTGGTCTGCCAGAAGGTGGGTGGAGACAGGCACGATCCTTGGAGGCATGGAGTGTGGGCCCACTCAGGGTGCCTCCGGGTAGGCATCTTGAGCTGTGACACCAGCCGGGGCAAAGCCAGCAAGGCAGGTGTCTACATGGCAATAGAGCCCAAATTCAGGACGGTATGCTCAGGGGCAGCTGGACCAGGACATCATAAGTGGAGAGGAGGCTGGCCCCTCTTTTCCCCACACCCTGGATTCCCATCTTTTTTTTTTCTTAATTTTTAAACATGTTTATTTTTGAGAGAGAAAAAGACAGTGCGGGAGCAGGAGAGAGGGAGACACAGAATCTGAAGCAGGCTCCAGGCTCTGAGCTGTCAGCACAGAGCCCAGCGTGGGGCATAAACCCACAAACCACAAGATCATGACCTGAGCCAAAGTTAGACACTTCCTGAGTCACCCAGGCTCCCCTTTGGACTCCATCTTTACCTGCCACGTTGTGGGAGTTCTGCTAGATGCCTCTGAGAGCCGGCTTGGCCTCCCATGGTGCATCCACATCCCACCCTTGCCCCATGCTCTCCCTCCTCAGCAACACAGGATCTAAAGCCTCCAAATCTCTGCGCACAAAGATGCTGACATGAAGATGGAAATCTGCGACCTGAGCCGAGGACTCGCTACATCAGTTACTTGTCCACAGCCTCCTGACTCAGGTAATGAAGTCGAGGTCAGCCAGGGGTTAAGGAGCTAGCAGGGAGCCTGGGCTCAGGGGTGGGGCCTGTCTTGAGGCTCAGAGAGGGAAGAGTCAAAGGAGGGGAAAGGACTTGAGGGGGCTCCTGAGGAGCCAGGGGCTAGACCTCAAAAATAACAGTAATTATGGTCATAGTGTTAGAAACATCTGTTGAGTACCTTTTTTTTTTTTGTTTTCTAGTTTATTTTTGAGAGACAGAGCATGAATGGAGGAGGAGCAGAGAAGGTGGGAGACACAGAATCCGAAGCAGGCTCTAGGCTCTGAGCCATCAGCACAGAGCCCGATGCAGGCCTCGAACCCACAAACCGGGAGATCATAACCTGAGCAAAGTCAGATGCTTAACCGACTGAGCCACCCAGGCACCCCAGAGTACCAATTCTTGATGAAAATCTACAAACATTACAAAGAGCTATTGTTTTCATCTTAAAGAAGAGGAAAGTGGACTTTCGTGAGTTTTATCACCCAAAGCTGCACAGTCAGCGCCGGGAGCAAGGATATGAATCCCTGATGGCCTGAAGCCAGAGTCTGCCTGTGACCAATTAGTAAAAGGAAACCACGCTTCGACGGGAGGCCAGCAGGGGGCGTTCTCAGCATGGCCCAAGCAGGACCTCACAGGTGGGTGCTCTTTTACTACCCGTCGGGGAAGGTTTCCTCCTCCCTTGGCAACAGCTCCACCAATGAGAGCCTCCCACAGTCCAGCCAATGAAAAGCCACTATACTTAGAACTCCCACTATATGCCAAAGCACTTTGTTTACAGCAGCCCTAACTTCCCTTTTCTGAGAATTTCTCTCCTTTGGTCTCCGCACTTGACTGTAGTCTTACTGAGTCCTGCTTGTTAATTGTCTGCTCTCCCTGGATAAGCCCAGTTTTGCTGGTTTAAAAAAAAATTTCATTTCCTAAGGTTAATAGTTATCAGTCACCACTTTGATTCAGGACCAAGGCAGCAGCACCTTAAGATTCTGCCCACTCTCGAGAATTCTCAAATTGCAGCCCCCAACAACTGCAGGGCTGTTTGGCATCCAGAGCCATCCATCGGCTCACTGGGCGCCACGAGGGACCCAGTTGAGGCTCTCTCCCTCGCAGGGACTGTTTACGTAAGAAGAAGAAAAAAAAAGCCTCTTTCCCTCGCTCTAGTGTAGCTGCAATCTGGGGCGAGGCAGGGCAGTGTCCCAACGCCCAGGAAGTAAGGTGTAGGCCGCCGATAGGGGAGCCCCGTAGAAGGGCAGCCAGCCAGGGACCTCAAGCCTGCAGCCTTCCCAGAGCCAAAGTGGACCTAGGCGCCTGGGTTGGGGCGGGGGCCGGGGGGGGGGGGCAGTCTCCCTGTTATTCCTCCCCTAGAGGGAGTGAGAACCATCTTCCACCATGCCTTGCTTTTCCCCAGAAGTTGGCCTGGCCCACTCCCTAACTCAAGGGGCAGCTTCCTGGGGTCCTTCTAGGTCACAAAACCCAGGCAGGGTGGGAGAGGAAAATGGGGGCAGCCCACCCCTGGAGGCGGCTGGAAGGTCCCGAATTATCACCCCCTTAGGATGGACGCCACCGAACGCCCCTCCTATGGCAGCCCAGGTCTCTTTGAGATGCAAAAGTCTTGCCGCCCCGATGACCCAAGATGCCCAACATTCACGGACTCTCCCTGGGATGTGGGGATACGCTACACTCGCCAAGCCAGCCCCCCACGTCCCTCAAGGAGAGCTGAGCCTGCGCCCAGACTGCCCCCTGAACGCGACAGGGGCGCCTCAGCTTTGCCACTCCCAAGATGGCGCCCCCAACTGCCGAGCCGGGTCCCTTCCCCACTCTCGCACGCCACGGCGCCGAGATGGCGGCCGGACGCGCGGTCTGACCGAGCCTTCGGCGCATCACCTAAAATGGCGGTCGCAGGGCGGGGCCGCCGGGCGCGAGGCACGCTGGGGCGGGAGCGCGGGTTGTCGGGAACGGGGCGGAGCGCGGCCGCGCCGGCGCGTCGAGGGGGGACAGGCAGCCGCCGCGATGGTGAGCGGGCGCGGGGGGAGGGGCGCCGGGCCGGGGCCCGGGGCGCCGGGGGCGGCTGGCCGCGCGGGGCAGGGGTCGGAGGGTGGCTACGGGTTGGCGGGCTCCGCGCTCACGCCGGCCCTCTGCCCCCCAGGACGTGTTCCTCATGATCCGGCGCCACAAGACCACCATCTTCACGGACGCCAAGGAGTCGAGCACCGTGTTCGAGCTGAAGCGCATCGTCGAGGGCATCCTCAAGCGGCCGCCCGACGAGCAGCGGCTGTACAAGGTGCGGCCGCGGGAGGGCTCTGGGCGGGGGCCGGGCTGGCGCTGCGCGGCGGCCGCGTCGTTGGTGTCAACAGTGGTCGGAACTCCCCCGCGTGGAGGGCGGCCTCCGGGGCGCGCGGGCCCCTGACATTCGTGCTGTGCATTCGGGAAACTGAGGCTCGGCGAGGCAGCCGCTTACCCCAAGGTCGCTGGCTTCGGGTTTTGGTTCAGGATTTGAACTCCGTTGCCCTTAATTCTCCGCAGGCCCATCAGAATCGCACCCCTTCACCCCCACGCCTTAGTGCAGATAATTGGAGGGTGTCGTGACGAGTAAAGTCCTGCCGGTTCCTCCCCCACAGAGTATGTCCCTCCCCAGCCTCCTGCAGACGCTCTAGAAGCCCCTCCTCGCCACCCCCTCCCCCTCCAGAAGCCAACTGCACGATTATTCAGCGCAGGTGGCTTGGGTTCTCGTTGGGAGAACCCGTTGTATCGGTCCCTGATCCAGGTGTCCGGCAGCGTGGGGTTCCCCACCTAGGTGCGTTGATGCATTTCCGGCTGGAAACGAGGTTCATTCCAGACTTTTATCCTGCTGCCTGTGCTCCTTCCATGTACTTTGCTCCGTGTTTTCTGTGTGTCTTTCAATCAGTGAAACAACCGGGCTGCCCTACAAGTTGGGAGTTCCAGTAGTTCCTGTCTTACTGATAACATTTCACATCAAAAAGATGAAGTACTTTGTCCAAGGGGGCAGAGCCGGGAAACAAGTCAGTCCTGCCTGTGGACAGACTGTGTCACTGAGTCTTGAAATTAGATTCCCCTGAGTTTGGGGTGGGGGGAAAAAAAAAACGGATTCCAGAGCCCTACCCTGGGAGGTTCTGATTTGGAAAATCTTGGGCATAGCCCCGGAAACTGTTTGATATACTTGGGTGGTCCTGGGCCCTATTTGGGGCGGTCTTCGCTGAATCCTGACTTTCGGGGAAGTCTTGGGGACCCCCTGGAGTCTCTCCTAACACCCTTGCCCGCCTCCCTCCCCAGGATGACCAGCTTCTGGATGATGGCAAGACACTGGGAGAGTGCGGGTTCACCAGTCAGACGGCACGGCCGCAGGCCCCAGCCACCGTGGGGCTGGCCTTCCGGGCAGGTGAGCCGGGCGGCCCGCCAGGGTGGAAACCGCCAAAGAAAGGGGTCGCGGGAGACCCCGGCCGTTGGCTGCTCCCAGCCTCCAGGGCAGTGTCTTCCCCAGTCCACAGAGCGCAGGCGGCGCCTTGTGACAGCGCAGGTGTGACTCCGCAAAGGAAAACGAGCAAATGAGGCGCCTGTAGCAATCACGTGTTTCCCGGAGGGTTCTCCTCGCCCGGCACGGTGCCCGCCGTGTTTACAGAGCTCTTACTGAGTATCGGGCCCTGTGCTCTGCGCTGTATTTCCCTTGTTCCATTTAAACGCTCCGTAGCCTGAGCGGTAAGCACTGTCACCCTCACTTTGGAGCCGTGGACACGGGCGTGTTGGCGGCACGTGGGGAGCCGTGATTCAGACGCCGACTGCTGGCACCCTTGCAGGACATCGCTTAGACCCCCGGCGTCTCTGCGCGCACCACGCTTGTGCTCGTTTGTAAGGATGAGAGAGCAAGCGCAGGGAGGTTAGGTCGCTTGCTGGGAGCGCGGGGTTCACGTGGCCCCTGTGTGCCGCACAGGCTGCGCCGAGATCAGCCCCGTGCCCCCTGCCCTCCGGTGTATCTCCTGGCCCCAGGGAGAGGCTTGAATGTTATTTGTCTCTGGAAACCTGCACAAGGTTGTATGTAGTATGGCTTCACAGCTGTGCACCTGGGCCTGCATGGGTGTTTGGGTAAACTTGGTTGGGAAGTATTTTTCTGGCTTGTGAGAGAACTGTAGCAAGGGCTGATGGGGGAGTGTGTCCCCTTAGCCCCGCTTGCCGGCTTCGTAAGGACCCGTGCCGGGCCTCAGCAGCCGTGGCCTTGGGCGGCTGCTTCATGCCCCCACCCCTCCTGACTGGAGCTCCTGTCTCCATAGAGGGTGCGACACAGGCCAGTCTCGGAGGCAGCGTGAGCTCCCCGCGCACCCCAGGCCTTGGCCTGTGCACACTCAGTAGATGGAAACCTTAGGGGCCTTTCTGTGGGTCCCGTCTGACCCTCACGGCGACACTGAGGCAGTTGCAGGGCTGGCCCAGACCTCTCTGCTTCCCCCGCCAAGGCTGGGCTGCCTTCTGGAGCGAGGAGCCCTTCCTCTTAACTGAACAAGGGCACTTCCGTAGACTTTGCAGAGACCCTTGGAAGATGGTGATAGACCTATTTTTTTGATGAAAAAAATCTCAACAGGAGTGTGGGGTTTCCCCCCAGTGGCTCCAGTTTATGGCATTGAATGTGGGGGTGCCTAGACCCTGGGTGGCACCTCCCTGCCCCCCGGGCAGGGGATTGCTGTCTCAGTAGAGGACACTGTGGACTGGACTGGCTGTTCTTTGCTTCCCCCACGGGCTACTTTTGTGGCAGCAGTGCGCTGCTGGGTGTGTGGTTGTGGCCGCGCCTCGTTCCTGTGGGCACCAGCCCCGGGGCTCACTTTCTCCCCCAGTGGCTGCTCGCTGAGGGGGAGAGGGGCTAAATGGCATTCTCCAGCCCATTTCCGACAAACGAAGGCAAGAACCGTCCCTGTGGGCTGGAGGAGTGAGTTACTCCGCTGGCCCAGGTGTCTTAACTCCAGCACTACCGGCATTTGGGGCTGGAGAACTGGGAGTGGTCCTGTGCACTGCGAGGGGTTGAGTGTCTCTGGTCATCTACCCACTGTCCCAAGGCGCGTGACAACTGCAACCATTGCTAGGTCCAGCCGGCTTTTCCCATGGGGCCTAACAGGTTAAGAACCCTGAGCCGGCGGGGGAAGTCTCCCTGTTGGGAGAACGTGCGGGAGAGAAGTTACAAAGCGGGACTGGTTTGCTCGGTGTGAGGTGTCGGCAGGAACAAGACCGGAGCCCTTCTGAGGCCGCTGTTCCGGCGGGGGCAGCATCGGGGCAGTAGAAACAGGACCGCCGTGGCAGGGGCTGGGCAAACGCTCCTGAAACGATGCACAGGCAGTGGGCTGCGGGGACTGTTCTAGAATGGCCCAGGCCGGCCTCTAGGAGAGGTCTGCGTTGACCTGCATGGTAGGCTAGGGACCGCAAATGCCAAGGGCCAGAAACAGGAAGAGCTTGAGACGGCAACACGGGTGGCACGGAAGGCGGCAGGACAAGCCTACCGACTCGAGATCTTGTTCGGAGTATGAGGAGACGCTACGGAAGGTTTTAAGCAGGGCAAGAACGTTAAGCTTCAGTGCTTGGTAGAGAGGAGGTGTGAAGGGCCCAGGGCGATGGGGCAGAGTCTGGGTGAGGAGAGACAGTAGGCGGATACAGACGCGGCCCCAGGCTCCCTGGTAGGTGCACAGGGTGAGGAGGACCCCGGGGATGGGGGGGGGGGGGGGGGGGGGGGGGGGGGCCTGTAGAGGATCAGGGGGGTCCAGGCGGTTGGGCCAGGATGACGGAGACTCACGTTGCAGAGGTGGGAATTGGCCCACAGGTCCCCGCCGCAAGCTAGAAGGCGGCGGCTCCCTCCAGCTCTCCCTCCTCTGTCCACCAGATGAAGCTTTCGAGGCCCTGCGCATCGAGCCCTTCTCCAGCCCCCCCGAGCTGCCCGACGTGATGAAGCCCCAGGACTCAGGAAGCAGCGCCAACGAACAAGCGGTGCAGTGAGACGGCCCCGGGCCCGCCCCCAGTGCCCCCCCCCCAATAAAAGAGATTTGGGTGTCTGCCTGGTTGCTGCCTTTTTCTGCGCACCCTCTCCTGCCTCAGCCCCCATTTCCCTGGGGATGGGGTCTGCTCCCCTGCAAGGCTCCCCCTCAGCCCCTTGGGCGTGCTAGGCCGGCTGTGGGACCCCAGGGCCCCCCCTGTCCACACCCACCCGAGCCTGGCCTCTGCCCTCAGAGGCCGGGGAGGGACCCAGAGCCCAGGCCAGCCTTCCGCTCCGCCTGGGGACAAAAGTGTGAGGCTTTGTTCCTTCAGTGACTTCCGCCCAGTACACACTCTAGGCTGAGGGGCAGAGGCCAGGAGCAAAAGCGTCAGCTGGAGGCAGTGGGGTTCCCAGGGGCACCCCCTGCCTACAGTCACCCTCCCTGAGTCCTCCGAGGCCCCAGGAGGAAGGAGGGAGGCAAAGTGGAAGGACAGCTGTCCCCTACCCCTAATAAACAGCCTATAGACCCAATTCCTGCATTTCTCATTTTTATTTGACAGAAAAAGTTGCTCTTGCTGTACAGATTTTAAAAAACCAAAATGCCTTTAAGAAACGTGAAGAAAAGTTGGGGGAGGGGCCACAACCTCACTGGGGGGGCAGTAGGGGCCAACTAACTTCCACTCCTGCCCCTTCCATCCCGGAACACCTTACCCAAGTTCCAACTCTCCCCAGAACTTAGGGGTACAGGGGGCCTCGGTGCCTCCCAGCCCTTTCTAAATCAAGACCACGGCGTCCCAAACTGTACCTTCCCCTCCCGCAACTCCCATTCTCATTCCCACCCACCCCAATCCCCCCAAAACGTGAACCAGGAAAAACTCACAGAGATTAACATTTCACAGGAACAAAGAAAAAGGGGGGGAAGGAGTCCTCCCCGGGGAGGCTGCCAGGGTTGGGGGGGGGACAGACAAGGACCCCTCCCCACCGCTCTGCTGGGGAAAGGGGGCACTCCCTGCAGCTCCAGAACTTGGGGTGTGGTGGGATTTCCCCCCGTAGATTCAAGGAGACCTGCAACAGAGAAGACGGCCATCAGCGCCAAAGCCCCAGGCGGCCCCGGAGGTCCCCGGGCGCAAGAGCCGGACAAGGGCGCACCTGGAGGAGCGGTGCCGCACGGGGCGGGGGCTGGGCGTCTCCCTCCTGCGCTTGTGGCCAGGGGAGCGGCTGTCCCCACGCGGGCCTCTGCGGGAACCCCGTTCACTGCTACTGCAACAACACAGGCCAGTCAGACGACACGCGAGGCAACACCAACCTCGTACGACTTCAGAACTTCGGAGCGTGGCGGCCGGACTGGCCCGGGCCGGGCGCGCCACCGACGCGAGCCCCTACCTCTGCTGGTCCCGCGGCGACGGCTGAGGCGAAGGGCGGCGGCGCTCCGCTGGCGAGTAGCTGAGGGAGCGAGAATCTCGGAGGGAATCTATTGGCTTCCGGGGACTACGGGACCTGGGGAGCAGAGGAAGCCTCGATAGCACCACGCTCTTCCCAACCCACCAGCCGGCACTCAGGACCACCCCCCAGGTCCTGACCACCACACCTCATACCACGCAGGGCCAGCCTCAGACCCACCTTTGTCTGCTCGCTCACCCATCCGCCCGCACACCATCCACCGAGTGCCCCTCTGGGCAGGGCACGGGGTGCAGCGGGGGATGCAAAGAAAAAGACAGTCCCTGCCCTTGGAGGGGCTCAGTCTGGTGGTGGAGGAGGGCCAAGGGAGGCCCGCTTGGCCCCGTGTATGGGAAGCAGCCCCACAAGGACCAATATACATGGGTCTGGGGACCCGGGGGGGAAGGGACGTGGGGCAGGGAAGGGGGGGGAAGGGTAGTCTTCTCGAAGGTGCTGTTTGAGCGGAGTCTTGCAGAACGAGGAGTTCACCAGGCGGACAAGGGAATTCCAGGCAGAAGGAACAGCATGTCCAAAGGCATGGGGTTCTCCTTAGACTGCAAGGCGCTGGGTATGGCTGGAGCACAGGGCATGTGTGGGGGCGGGCAGGAGAGGAGAACACAGGGCAGGCAAGGCCAGTTGGTGAAGAGCCTCACACGCCATTCCCGCAGAGGTGGGGCTTTATCCTGCAGGCCACAGGGCGTCCCGGAAGGATTTGTGGAGTGGAGGGAAGTAACCAGATGTGCGTTTTAGAAAGATCCCTCTGGCTACGTGTGGAAGAGAATGGCGTGGAGGCAGGGAGACAGGGAAGAGGCTGTGGACAGAGTCGGGAGAAGATGACGGTGGCCAGACCAGAGCCCTGGCGGGAGCAATGGGGAAATTTAAAAACTAGAATCCCTGGGACAGGGAGCAGGAAGCAGGCTGCATGTCAGGGGCGGGGAGAGGAAGGAACCTAGGACTCCACAATTCTGACTGGAGCACCCACACCTGGACCCTTTGCCAGAACAGGGCACAGCACAGGTGGTGGGGAGAGGAGAGCCCAACTCCTCCCACACAACCAGACACCACAGTCCACCAGAGACTCCCGGCAGGGATCTCACGCCCAGGGTCACACCCCACCCCTTCCAGCTCCAGCAAGGCTGCACTCACCTCCGCTCTCCGGGGGGCGGCTTCTTAGGGCTTGCAGGTTTGGGCAAGGCCTGAGGACCAGGCTTAGCAGGGGAGGGGGATGAAGAAGTAGAAGAGGAGGAGGAGGAGGAGGAGGAAGAGGAAGAGGAGGAGGAAGAGGAGGAGGAGGAGGAGGAGGAAGAGGAGGAGGAAGAGGAGGAGGAGCTGGAACTGGAGCTACTGGAGCGCCTCTTGCGCTTGGCCGGGGTTGGCTCCGGAGGACGGCCCTCTCGAACAGCCTCCTTTGGGGCTGGGGTGGGGCTGGGTACCCTGTGGGAGAAGCAGAGCGTCAAGAGGAGACATAGCACCCCAGCCCCGACCCTACCTTCCTTGGCCTGGAGGAACGGCAGCGGGGGAGGGGTGCCGGAGAAAGGCCCTGGGAGCTCTCAGCCGAGGGCCGGTGAGCTGAGCGCATTCTCTGGAGAGCAGTGGCCCAAGCTGCCCCCACCTCTGCTAACACAAGCAACAGGCCGGGCCCACAGCACAAGGGATCAAGGCTAAACCTCAAGAAATGTCCCTGATGGCGGACTAAGGCCCCTGGGCTCAGGTGTGGAAGCCGAGCTGGGCGGTCTCCTTCCCTGGAGAGCCGCAGCTTGGGGAGGCCCCTGCGAGTGCGGGTTGGCTGGGGGAGGGGCCGTCCTGCCTGGAGGCAGGGAGAGGGATGGGATGACCTCTGAAGATCCTTCCAGCCCAGGGAGTTCCTCTTGAGGTCTAACTGCCATCCCTCCTGCTGTAAAATTAAGTCCATTTCCTCTAGTTCTGTCCTCTGTAGAGACGGAAAACTTATCATTATCCTCTAGAGAATGAACCTTTGGAGACTTTTATCTGTCCCATTCCTCCCCCCGTTTGCCCCCACCCCAGCATTCTCTACTACCCCCAGCTGATGGGTCAAGGTCCCCATACCTCTTTCAAAGAGCCAAGAGCCTCTGGACAGAGCTGCTCCCTCCCCATCCCCACACCCCCCTCCTCCCCAAAACCTGCCCCATCCAACAGTTCTGCAAGTCAAGCCCCCTCACCTCTTCAGCGCTACCTCAGGTTGAGTAGGAAGGCTAGAGCCCTCTGAGTCGCTAGAACTGGAGCCGGAGGAGGAGGAGGAGGAAGACGACGACGATGAGGATGAAGAGGAGGAGCTGGATGAGGAGGAGGAGGAGGAACTCCGGCGCTCCTTTGCCGGCTGCAGGGCGGCCAATACAGAAGGCTGCTGGGCCCCCGCGGAGGCCTGTGTTTCCCCACCCTCAGGGTGGGACATCCCAGGGACAGGACCGGAGAGCATGCCATTGTGGTCACCAGCAGAGGACGTGGTCTTTGCCACCGTCCCAGAGGAGAGAGACTGAGACCCTGCTACAGGGGTGGTCTGGGCAAGCAAAGCTCGGGATTGGTCAGAAAAAGCAGATGGCACAGGGGACCTAGGTCGATCCTGAGCTGGAGGAAGCACACACTGTGAGGGAGCCTGGACCATTCTAGAGGCAGGAGAGGGAGCCCGCTCAGAGGTCATTCTAGACTGGCTCAGGGCAGACGGTGGGGTTCTGGAGCCTGGGCCTCCTGGCGGGGTTCTCGATCTGGCTCGGTCAAGAAGCGGTGGTGAGGTTCTACCACTAACACGTTCGTAGGCAGAGAGGGGAACCCGGGGGCTGGTCAGGTTTGCACCAGACAACGCTGGCGCCATTCTAGCACTGGTGAGGCTGGCAGGTGCCATGGCTGGAGGGGTTCTGGAGCTGGCAATATTCACAGGAGCTGTGGCATGTGCAGATCTAGGACCCACCAGGTTTGCAGGGGCCGCAGCCTGGGCTGTTCTGGAGCTGGAGGGATAGTTTGCAGCGGCCGGGGGAGTGCCAGAGCCGGTGAGACTCAGAGCTGCCAAGGCAGCTGGGGTTCTGGCTCCTGCTAGGTTCACAGCTGGGGCTGTAGGGGTGCGAGGGTCAGCAAGGTTCACAGCAGAAGGTGCCACTGCCGTTCTGGGGCTGGCCAAGTTCATGGCTGCTGCCGCAGCTGGCGTTCTCGAGTCAGCCAGGTTCACTGCTGTTGGTATGGCAGGTGTCCTGGCGCCAGCCAGGTTCATGGCTGCTGCAGAGGCTGCAGGAATCCTGCTGGCAAGACTGGCAGCTGGGGCCGTTCTGAGACTCATGAGAGGCACTGGAGCTGGAACCTGGGACATTCTTGCAGCAAGGCCAGCAGCAGACATGGATGGAGGCGGCCGAGCAGTGCCAAGACTGATGGCTGTTAGGGCAAGTGCAATTCTAGACTGTGCATGATTTTCTGGCACAGATGTTCTCGGGTGATCAGGAATTCGGGGACCTGGACCATCCATCATGGAGCCACCAGCTTGCTGCAAGACAGACATAGGTGCTCTAGAGCTGCCGAGGGGTTCAAGCATTCCAGGTGATCTACAGCGGTCCAGAGGAGTTGGTGACATGCTAGGACGACTGAAGCAGCTCATTCTGGAGCTATTGAGCGCTACCGGAGGTGTCCGAGAACCAGAATGATTTCTTGTTGCCGGAGGAGTAGCAGAACGAGAACGATCAGAACTACTTCCAGATGCAGAACGCCTTCGGATGGCAGGAGGAGATCTTGTTAAGGACCGTTTGCCCCGAGTTGTTCGCGGAGTACGGGATCTAGAACGGCGACGGATAGCAAGGGGAGAGCGACTTCGAGAACGCTTGCGTGGCAACAATGGGGTCCGAGACCTCGAGCGACGCCGAATAGCTGGAGGTGTTCGGGACCGAGATCGGCGGCGTGTCACCGGAGAGGTTCGAGAGCGGGACCTCCTTCGAGTTACTGGAGATGTGCGAGATCGAGATCTCCTACGGGTGGCTGGGGATGTTCTGGATCTTGATCTTCTGCGAGTGATAGGGGAAGTTCTGCTCCGAGATCGCCTCCTGGTCACTGGTGGAGTCCTCGACCTGGACCTTCTTCGAGTCACTGGTGGAGTTCTAGAACGGGAGCGCCGGCGTGTTGGGGTTCTGGATCTTGAACGACGGCGGGTTACTGGTGGTGTTCTAGACCTGGATCGCCTTCGACTCACTGGCGATGCTCTGGATCGAGATCTTCGCCGAGTCACCGATGTCCTGGACCTCGATCGTCTCCGACTGACTGGTGAAGTTCGAGACCTGGACCTACGGCGGCTGACCAGAGGTGTTCTGGACCTGGATCGCCGGTGAGCGGCTGGAGAGGCCCGAGACCTTGAGCGTTTCCATGGAGCTGGTGATGTACGTGAGCGGGACCGCTTCCGACTGGCTGGGGGTGTCCGAGAACGGCCTCTTCGGCGTCGTGAAGAAGTTCGGGAACTCTCCTGCCGGGCAGGTGACCTTGAGTGGTAACCAGAGCCTCCCCTCCGCCGCCGAGTGACTCGAGACCTTGACCGGCTCCGCTGTCGTCTCCGAGAGGTTGACTGAGAAGATCCGGACCTATCTCGACGTCGAGTTGTTCTGGTTTTCTCCCTCCTTGAGCGGGAACGGGATCTCTGAAGCCCACGAGGCTTTGGTGAAGGAGAACGGCCTCTCCTCGAAGTTGTCTTAGCACGTGGGGATGAAGCGGAGCGTCGCCGGCGTGAGGATCTTGACTTTTCAGCTGGCTCTGGGGAAGACACCGAAGGACTTCTTCGGCGTCTCGGGGGGGTTCTAGAACGGGTCTCTGGTGATGATGATGCAGAGCGGCTTCTACGAGAGAGCCTGGCCTTCCTAGTCAGCTCAGGGGACGATCGAGAGCTGCGACGGCGAGGTGGAGTACGGGACTTGGTCTTGGGCTCTGGCGATGACCTAGAACTTCTTCTAGCAGTTCTGGATTTGGGTGGGTGTTCTGGAGAGGACTCTGAACTGCTGCTTCCTTCAGGAGAAGGGCCTCTGCCTTTGCTTGATGAACCTGATCTGCTTCGTCTGGGGACAGCTCTAAGGGCAGGAGCCTTGGGTTCTGGAGAAGAATCAGAACCACTCTGTGCCCTGGGGGCAGCTCTCGGCTTATCTTTAATTTCAGGGGATGAGCCAGACCTACTACGGCGAGGAGAAGGTCGGGCTTTGCTATCGACCTCTGGAGATGACCCAGACCGACTCCTTTCTCTAAGTGGTACTCGTGTCTTAGCTTTAGAATCTGGAGAAGAGTCTGATTCACTTCTTTCTTGAGGGGATGCACTGGGTTTCCCATCAAGTTCTTGAGAAGACCCAGATCGACTTCGCTGTCCAAGAGGAGTCCTAGCCATGGTCTTCTGTTCAACTGATGACTCGGACCCACTTCTTTCTCTCGGGGGGGTAAGACACTTGTTGTTGAGCTCTGGAGATGATGGAGAACGACTCCTTGGCCTAGGAGTCTGGGGCAAAGCTTTTGGTTCTGGAGAAGAATCACATTCACTTCTCCCCCTAGACGGTGTTCTAGGTATGTCTTTCATTCCCGGAGAGGACCCAGATAGGCTGTGCCTTGAGGGAGTCCCAGACCCATCTCTCAGTCCTGGGGAAGATCCAGACCTGCTTCTCCTTGAGGGAGTTCTGGGTAAACCGTCTTTCAGTTCAGGAGATGCAGAGCTACTTCTTTCTCTTGATGGTGTTCTGGGTACTGCATCAAGCACCGGTGACGAAACACTCTGATTTGAAGACATTCCCGCTTTTTCCACTGCATCTGGGGATAACTCAGAGCTGCTGCGTCTAGAGGACCTTGTCGATTGTTCTTTCAGGTCTACAAACGGATCTGTTTCCAGCGGATTAGGAAAAGATCCATTCAAATCTTCTTTAACCTCAGGAGAAAATCCAGCATTCATTTCTGCAATAGGGCCTGAGTTTCTGAATTCTAAAGGTGACCCAAAGCTATTCTCCCTTGGGGAAGAACTAGACAGTTCTTTATGTTCTGGAGAAAAATGTGGCCCACTCCAACCTGAGGCCACTGCAGGGGCTTCTGCTTCCAAAGAAGCCTGTGACTGGCTTTGGTCAAGAGTCAAAGACACAGCAGGTCTTTCTTCTATTTCAGGCGAGGACTCAAAATTACCTCCAGCCATTTCTTTAAGTTCTGGAGACAAATGGGAGAGGACCTGGTTTGAGGACTCTTCGGATTTCTCAACCACCTCCATTAACTCCTCATCTTGGCTTGGCTTAGCTAATGCACTTTGGTCTTTTATATCTGGGGATGACCCAACACCTCTTTCCCTTGATGGGGTTTTAGGTGTCTCTCTGAGTACTGGTGAAAACTCAGGTTTATCTTGGACTGGAAAAGGACTCGATTTGTCTCTTGGTCCAGGAGATGACACAGGAGCATCCTCCTGAAGGAGTAAGCCTGTTTTCTCTTTTGATTCAGAATGTTCCAATCTACTCTGCCCCAAAAGAGATTTAGAGTCCATGGCAGGATACGAGAAAGAGTCAGACTGACACCTGCTCTGCTCGGGAGACATTCCAGATTTTAGCCTAGGACTTGACAATTCACTTCTATCTAGTCTTATTGGAGATTTGGGTGCCAGCTCAGCGATTGGAGAGGAGGACCTGGACCGGCCACCCTTAAAAGGCGTTTGAGATTTGCTCTGCAGAGATGGAGACTCAGAGGGACTCTGTTTCACATCTGGACTTGAAGTATCAGATCTAGGGTCTGGTGAAGTTTGAGACTGTCCTTTCTGTTGCAGAGAGGAGGTGGCAAAATACAGCTCTCCTGGTAGTGTGGTAGACTTTATTCCTGGACAGAGAGAGAAGGATCCAGAACTCTGTGCCGGTGAGTCTTTAGACTTCTCTTGGGAACATGGGGACTTTGACCCACAAAGATTGTGCCCTGATGGAATTTGGGGCTTTACTTTAGGGCATGGCGAAGTAGACCCTGAGTGACTTTGCCTTGGTGGTGTTCCAGGTTTCACTTTGGTATCTGGTGAAGAGGACCTAGAACGGCTGTGTCTTTGCAACAATCTAGAGTCCATCTTGGAGCAAGGAGACTCTGATCTGCTTTGCCTTGGAGGGGTTTTAGAAGTTACCCTACTAGGGCTTGGAGACGAAGAGCCAGAATGACTTTGGGCTGGTGACGTTACTGCCTTCACTTTGGGTTGTGGAGAGGATGATCCGGATCGGCTGCGTCTTGGAGGGGTGCTGGATTTCATTCTAGGAGGAGAGGAACCAGAGCAGCTATGTCTTGAAGGGGTCATAGATTTCCCCTCAGGGTCAGGTGATGATTCTGAAAGGCTCTGTATTTGTGGTGTCGCAGATTGTTCATTTGCCTGGGGACTTGTTAAAGACCCTTGCCTTGGTGGTGTTCCAGACTTCACTTTAGGTTGAGGAGATGAACTGGAACAACTCTGTCTCGAAGGTGTTTTAGATTTCTGATTAGAAGGAGGAGAAGAACCAGAACGACTTCGCCTTGGTGGCGTTCTAGATTTAGCTTTCGGCTGGGATGAACCAGAGCGACTGCGCCTTGGTGGTGTCCGAGACTTTTGCTTAGGACACGGAGAGGATCCTGAAAGGCTCCGCCTCAAAGACAAACGAGATTTTGCTTTGGACCGCGGTGAAGAGAGAGACCTGCTTCGTCTTGAGGAAACTCGAGATTTTTTCATTTCTGGGCTTGAGTTGGACCTGCTCCTCCTCTGTGATGTTCTGGATTTGTTCTTCCGTTCTGATGATGAACCAGACCTGCCTCTTCTTTGCGGGGTTCTAGAGTGAGATCTTCCTCGTCTGCCTAGACTTCTACTACGAGATCTTCGCCTTGCTGGTGTCCTAGAGCGAGAGCGTCCTCGTCTTACTGGTGTCCTAGAGCGAGAGCGTCGTCTTGCAGGTGTCCTAGACCGAGATCTCCCTCTCCTGGCTGGTGTTCTAGAGCGTGACCGACGTCTGGCTGGAGTTCTAGAGCGTGACCTGCCACTTCTCCTGGCTGGTGATCTGCTACGAGACCTCCGTCGTACTGGTGATCGGGTCCTAGATCTGCGCCTAGCAGGTGTTCTAGAGCGAGACCTGCCTCTCCGGGCAGGTGTTCTAGAGCGAGACCTACGCCTGGCAGGTGTTCTAGAGCGAGACCTGCGCCTGGCAGGTGTTCTAGAGCGAGATCTGGCCCGGCGGGCTGGCGTTCTAGAACGAGATCTGCCCCTAGTAGCTGGAGATCTAGAGTGTGACCTGCCTCGCCTTGCTGATCTAGACCTGCCTCTTCTCTGGGTATTTCTGCTTCTAGACCAGCCTGGTCGCTGAGGAGACCTAGAGCGACCACGTCGCTGGGGGCTTCTGGATCGTCCCCATCTCTGTGCAGACCGGGACCTACGCCACTGAGGGGACCGGGACCGAGAATGACCTCTTTTGGTAGGGGTTCGAGACCGAGATCGCCCCCTCTTAGTAGTGGTAGGGCTACGGGACCTCCCCACTCTTCGGGAAGGGGTATGAGAATGTGATTTATCCCGCTTTGCTCGGCCATGTGAATGACTCTTGGATGCGGGAGAAGAAGAAATCTCTCGGCGGGACCCAGGAGCTGGTGCAGGTTTAGGACTTTCAGGGGAAGAGCTGGCATGTCGAGAAACTTTGGTAGGTTGGGGGGATGGTGGGCAGCTCTCTGAAGACGACTGGGGAGGTTTCTCAGGAGATTTAGGTGGTGAACGGCCCCGGGTGGGGGAAGCCTCAGATGGGGGGTTCACTGGGTCCTGACTTAAGGTGGTTGTTGCAAGGGGTTGCGGGGAGCCGCCAGGTTGCTCAGCAAGGAGCGGAGTGGGAGCAGGTGGTTCTGGGCCTGTGCTGCTCCTTTCCGGAGAGGGGCTAAGTCGAACTGCAGATTTCTAAGAATGGAAAACAAAGTATGGATAGGAACGTAAGCACCAAAACTTATCACCCATGAAAGTCTAACATCCTTTCCAATGAAATTCTTCCTCTACACGCCTGATTACACCAATTAGTCCTTTTCCTCACCACAGGTACTCATTAACAAAAGATCATATCAAAAGACAGCAGAGAGGGGCACCTGGGTGGCTCAGTGGGTTAGGCATCCGACTTTGGCTCAGGTCATGATCTCACGCTTCACGGGTTCGAGTCCCGCATCCGGCTCTGTGCTGACAGCCAGCTCAGAGCCTGGAGCCTGTTTCAGACTCTGTGTCTCCCTCTCTCTCTGACCCTCCCCTGCTCACCCTCTCTCTCTCAAAAATAAATAAAACAAACATTTAAAAATTAAAAAAAAAAGAGACAGTGGAGACAATATGAAGATACAGATACACTTCTATCACTTTAAAAGTCTCATAACCTAGAAAAAAACACAATGTGAACAACACGCTACATTTTAGAATAACCTTAACAAAATGCCACAACAGAAATTAAAAAAAGTGTATTTTTATTAAATGGAAAAACGAAGCAGTTTCCCAAAGCATGAGGCATCTGACTTCACCCTTCAAAAATACTAAAATAAAAGAGCAAAGACAAAGATTTGAAAACGTGATTTATGTAAATAGAATTACAGGAAAGTACACAAAAAGCAAAGGAAACCAAGTTCGAAAAGCTTTCAGTATAAAAGAAATAAATGAAGTTAAAAAAGAAATTAAGTCTCTGAGGTGCCCCAACTTGTTCTTCAGAAAAACAACTCCGGAGAACACAGAAAAAAAACAAATAAGCTAAACATTTAACGAAAAACAATTATACTATAGTAGCTGAAGCAACAAAGCACCATGACCTAAGCTTCTATCAGAATGACAGGTACCGAAAAGACCATTCTGGAGTAGTGTTTTCAAACTGCAGGCAGCAACCCACTGGGTTGACAATTTTTAGTTAGCTACAGCCAGCATTTAACAAAAATTAAACTGTATAGACACGTCTCTAATAATGCTAAATTATGACTTAAGAAACCCTTTACTCAAATTGTACATAAATATATAAACAGGACAGTGATGCAAAACCTATAAACAACCAGGAAGTTTGTAGGCCATTAATTCTATAGAATTTAGACACATACAAGAGACCTTGATAAATAAAAAATGCCTCAAAAAAAAAAACCTGAATTCACTTCTCTAAACAAGTTTACTTTCCTCCTTCACTTCAAACACCCATCTTAACTCTGCAACGCAAAAAATATCCATTAACTCAAGCTGCAACCTACCTCCTTGTCTTTGTCTTCACGAGGACTACTAGGCGGCTTTGTAGAGGGCTCTGGGCTGCTAGGCTGCCCTGTGTTGGTGGTACCTGGCTCCTTAGAAGGTGCATCTCCCTCCCCTCGACGCCCTGAAACAGGGGAAGGACTTCGCCCAGTCAAGGTAGTTGTATGGGTCTTTGCTGCCGCACTTCGGGATCTGAGGAAGGTAATTGAGGGCAGGGGAGAGGAAAGAAATCAGCTCAGGGGAGAACAGAGAACCCCCTCCCCAGCTCCCATCCACCTTTCCTGACTATACAAACCCTCTTCCAAGAAGCCTTCTCTTACACACCTGACTCAAATCATTCATGGAAATTCAAGTCCACTTCACTTTGGTCCTTTTCTTCCAACAGTCCCCCAAAATGTTCTCCCTCTACCCGTTTACTCACCTCCCCCAACCCTTCCAACCCTCCCCCCTGCCCATTCCCTACCCACTTCATTCACAACTCACCTCTGAGCCCACCTCCTTCAGGAAGCCTTCCCCGATAAAGGAAGCCAGGGTAAGGATTCCTTCCTCCCCCAGACACCACGAACAAACCACCACCCCCCCTATTCTGGCAGTCCATATACATCAGAACAAAACAAAAAAATAACAAAATAAACAAAAACAAAAACAAAAACAAAAAAAAAGAGAAGGGGAAATGTATATGTCTGTCCATCCTGTTGCTTTAGCCTGTCAGCTCCTAGAGGGCAGGGACCGTGTCTTCCGAATGGTCTGTGCAGCGCCTAGCACACCGTGGGCGCTCAATAAATATTAAATTGATTAACCCACAAGTCCCTCTCCCTCCCTTCCTCCTGGACCACCCCTTACCGACTGCGGGAAGTATCAGAAGAGGAAGCAGAGTCAGCAGATGTTGAACGGTGGGCCCGGCGGCTCTTGGGGGCTGGTGTTGTACTACGAGACCTGAAGGAAGGCCACCACCATAGCTCAAGGTGCTGTCACACTTATACTGGGCTCTCCTCATCCCTCCACCTCAACCTTCCACAGTCAAGGACACAACGGATTCTCCCCTACCCCCACCAGGTAGCCTTCACCGAACCTACTTGCTAATAAGCAAATTACCCTCCAATTCACACAAACTCACTCACCGCTTCCGCTTCTTGTCCTTAGATTTACGTTTGCTCTTTGGAGTGGGAGACCTGACAAACACAGGGAGATTATTAAAAACAACCATCTTTAAGAAAAAAAATCCGAAGTGAAATAAAAAGATCAGGGAATTAAAAAACAAACAATTATTGACAGCAAAAGATGGAGGAATGGAGCTTCACTCTAAGAAACCCCCGAGAGAACAGGTAAGGCCAGACTGGCTCACCGTTCCATACCACTATGTCCCCAATGCCACAAGAAGCTCTTACCTATGCTTCCGTTTTTTGGATTCAGATTCTGACCTGTTGGAGGGGAGGGAGGAAAAAAACACATAAACCAGTACCTATGCCTGGACTCCTCAAAACTCTCCAATCACTCCACGTACTCCCACCTCATACCTGTGCTTCTTCTTCTTAGAACTCTTCTTCCTTTCTCGTCGAGGAGAGCTGCTCTCTGACCTGCTAAAGATGCGTTAAAAAACAAAGTCATTCTGCTGGGCTCCTTCCTTGACCTTCCCACTTATAATCCACCCCGAAAAAAGGTTTCTAAATCAACAAACACAAACAGTATCAATGTCTCAGACCTAACCCCAGGACTTAATTACTCTCCAAGAAGCAGAAGTACCTCCTCCATAAAGGAACAAACCTCAAAACAAAAAAGAAAATCCCAGTAACTCAAAACGTCAACGGTTAGTTCTTAGTTGGCAAAGCTGAAGAATCAACCCTTCCCCGATGAAAAAACAGAAGACAGGGGCACCTGGATGGCTCAGTCAGTTAAGCATCCAACTTCAGCTCAGGTCATGATCTCACAGTTCGTGGGTTCGAGCCCTGCGTCAGGCTCTGTGCTGACAGATACCTCAGAGCCTGTTTCGGATTCTGTTGTCTCCCTCTCTCTGACCCTCCCCTGTTCTCTCTCGCTCTCTCAAAAATAAACATTAAACCCCCCCCACACACACACACACACGACGTTCCTTCCCCAACTGAAACCTAAATGGTAACTCCCTCTTCCCTGACATCTGGCAACTCTCTCCTACTTCCTAAAAGCAAGAATTCTCTATTTCTACAGAGGGGAGAAAAAAACAACAAAATTGGTCCTCTGCCTATTAAAGGAACTTTCAACTGGGGCACCTGGGTGGCTCAGTTGGTTGATCCGACTTCGGCTCAGGTCATGATCTCACGGTTCATGGGTTCAAGGCCCGCGTTGGGCTGTGCTGACAGCTAGCTCAGAGCTTGGAGCCTGTTTCAGATTCTGTGTCTCCCTCTCTGACCCTCCCCTGTTCACCCTGTCTCTCTCTCAAAATCAAAAATACAATTTTTTTAATTAAAAAATAATAATAATAAAGTAACTTTCAATTAATTTACCGTCCTCTATCTTTCTTCTTTTTCTTCTTCTTTTGCTTTGGGGTTGGTGATCGAGAACTGCTGGACTCCCGCACAAGGCTAGAGAAAGATGAAAAGCAACAGGATGAGTGCTAAGATCAACTGTCTTAGACATTTCAACTTCAAAACAAAATCTGAACAGTTTGGGAAGAAATAGTCCCTCTCATCCCTAAATAGTGCAGAGTGCTTAGAAGCAGGAAAAGAAACTGACATGGTTTCTTGACCTTGAGTACCTGTAAGGTTTGGGAGGCTCTGGAGCTGGCTGTTTAGCTTCTCGAGCTCGTCGCTGAGGATCAAAAGAGCTGCCATCTACATAGGAATCACTGATACCAAAGGCAGCACGGAGTCGCTCATTCTTTTTTTCGTTCAGTTCTGCCAACTGGTGAGTCTCAGTTACCCTGGGGGAAAAGAGGCAAAGGTGAAAAGGAAATAGAAAAGAACAGGGTCACTCACACAACCCTAGGCAGCCAAATGGGACTGGGAAAAAGAAGAGCAGGGAGGAAGTTGAAGAGAGAACAGCAAAAGCAGTGGAGTCCAGAGGAAATAAGCGACAGGGAAAACACTCACGCTGGCCTCTGCCCTGGGGTCTCTTCCTTTCCCCCAGGGTTCACATCCTTCTCCAGCAACATGAGTCGAAAGGTAGCCACTTTTTCCTGAATCTGCTGTTCCTCGTACCTAAAGAACAAATCCCTGCAGGGTTAGAGCTTGACTAGGCACTTTCCCCAGTCCCAGGTTTAAAGTTTCCTTATTCCCAGGAGGATCCCTTCCCTTTCCATGCACACATAAAACTTTTCACTCACTGTCACCCAAAGGGCCCTTCTCTTAAATCTTTCTAATCTTTCACTGTTATCTTTCTTCCCTCCACTTTCTATAGCCTCTAGAACAGTGGATTTTAAACAGGCTAAACTCCAGGGGCCAAAGAGGAAAGTTAAGCAGGCAGAGTTCCAAGTGCTACTCCCCACCTTCAACAACAGGTATTTCCTGAGATTCCAAAATAAAGTGCATTGTATAAAAACGGTGCCACTGCTGAAGTTTGAAAACCACTGCTCTAAAAGGTTTTCTAACTGCCCTCCTTTTCCAAAATTTCACTTCCCTACCCAACCCATGATCCCTCTTATCCAGATATTATTCCAATTCCTGTTTTCTTGCCTTCACTACTTTCCAAGGCCTCAATCCTTAATTCCATTTGCCTTCCTCTTCTCTACCAATGACAACACCCATCACGTTATACTTCAGCTCTTTTGCCTGCTACCTGCTTTCCCACCTCTCCCCTTAAAGCACCTTTTTGTTTCTCCATAGCTCCCCGCTTTCCCAGTGCGTCTTCATCTTAATAATTCAAATTCCCTGAGGCTTTCTCTTGCTGCAGACAGTTTCCTGACCTCCCACCTTGAGCTGTCCCTTACCTCCTCTCGATTTGCTACAATTCCTTTACCTGCTCCCCTCCGACATCTCCTCTCCAGGCCTCTTCAACAAGCCCTAAGCTCCCTACATCCCACCTGACTCCCCCAGCTCTGCACTCATTCAGTGCTTGGCTCTCCCCCAGCCCTCCCCTCACCCCTGCTCTTCCATCATCTCCTCCAGCTCGAGGCATCGCAGCTCCACGCGCCGCTTGCGCTCGTGGTCCAGGATGTCAGGATTAGGCCGCTTCACCAGGGCAGCCTCCAGGCGCCGCAGTTCCTCCTCTCCCTTGTAGTCAGGCCGCTCACCCCGGCGGCCTCGCACCAGGGACAGGTTGCGCTGGACGTAGCCGTTGGTGCCGCTGCCCCGGGGCGTCGGCAGCCCGATCCCGTTGTACATGGCCCCGTGCCCGGGGGGGCACCACCGCTCCTGGGGGGGAGCGGGGAAACACGGGTCAGGCCCCTGACCCCAAACTAACCACTTACCACCACCCAAATCCCTGTTCTTCACCCCTATTTCAACATGAATTTCCACACTAAATTCCTTTACCTGCATAATCGTCCTGGTCTTCTAACAAAAACCCTTCCTTACCCTTCCCATACTTTCTTTCCGCTCAGTCACAACCCAGCTCTTACAGCCTTTTACCCCAAAGGGCAAGAGCCATTTCCATTTCTGTTTGCACCTAGATGTTTTTTCCACGCTCAGAAGAAACGAAACATCCTTCTCTCAATTTTCTCCTGTCTCTTTACTCCCCTCTGGCCCCAATAAGCACAAGTGATGTCTCCACCTACTAACCTGATTTCTAACATCTGGCAACTGAGACCTCCAAAGAGAACACAAACACCACCACAGATCTGTGGCACCTACAGGCCCACAGGCCCAAGTCCAAAGATTCTTTTAAGAACTGACCTAAGAATTTCACACTACCTTCTAACAAAAATAAAAAACAGACTAAATAACCCCTTTGTATTTGAACAGGGGCCTGACTGGTTCCTGACATGAACTCAGTGTCCCATGCAGCCTCACACTCGAGTAAAAGCCAGCATGCATATCAGAAACACAAGAACCTTGGATACATAATCCTCCTGTACTTTACCTCCCAGAGGTTAGGCCACTTCCTTGATTCCCAATATTTATAAGCTATCAACTACCCTGCCTGATATCTTACACCTTTAATTTCTTTCCCAATAGGCTTTCTCACGTGATTTGCAGCTCACCCAAGTCTCATTAGCTCCTCTTAAACATCACCTGTTTTCAACTCAATGCTCTGATCAAACAAACCTCCTCTGTTCCAACTGTTCCCATACCCACTTCTATGTTCCTTGCCCTAAACTTACTCAGAGACCCCCACACTCTTCATAGCCCCCCTTCATTAGTGCAAAACTGTCAACTTTCCCTATCAGTCCCCTGTATCTCACTTCCTAGTGTTTCTCTTCCAGACCTGCCTTCTCTCTCTCATGTTCTCTTTGTGCCTCCTACACCAAGGTTCTATCCTCACAACCTGTCCCAACCCCAGCATGGCTCTGAAGAGCCCACAACCCCCCATTTTTCTGGTTAGACTGTTTAGCTACACACATTCTATTCCTTTCTCCTACTACATATACTTTCTTTCTCCAGCTCATCTTGTCCAAGACAGCGTCACAGAGCATAAATATGTGAGGGAAAACTAGCCCCCCATCAAAATCCCCAAGGAACAAATGGAGAAATTAATGAAAAATAAGCAAAAGTAGATAAAGTTGAATAAAAAAGAAGCCTACGTTTTTAAAATACCAGAAAAAACTGCATATGAATACCTGGAAAAATATACTAGAATAAAATTTTAAGTACGGGGATATTGAGAACGGAAGGGAAATTGCCCAATTCCAGAACCGCGTATACCTCTATCCCCCAATCTGTAAAGGTTGGGTCCCTGCCCAATCCCAGCAGCAGACTCCAAAGGACTGGAAAATCAGAAAACCATACTAAGATACAGGAGTGACAAATGAAGCTAAATCTAGGAAAAGCATGCAAAAATGCACAAAGAAATGAAAATTTTCTTTACAGCACAAGAACTCGGTTTCTTTAGCCCCCCAACGCTCACTTTCATTTTCTCAAAAACCAAATCCTCCCCACTCTAAACCTAGGTCCTTCTTTGCCTCCCTAAACCCCATCCTAGTTTCTGCCTTCCTTGCAGAATGCTTCTGACATGCTTCAGTGTAACCATTCACCCACACCTCCATACCCCCTCACACACAAGTCCTCCCACTCCCTTAATAGGGCAAACCAGCAGCAGCTGAGGAAAGGACATTAAGTCACAACTAACTGGAGAACTTTAAAGGAACAAGTCCTCACCCCCCTACCCCAGAAAAATAGCCCACAACATCTGAGGCAGCGCTCAAAACACTAAAAGGAAAAACCAAAGGGGAACATCAACGCACAGAAAAATCGCCCAAAACAGGCAACTTTACAGACATTCTCAACTGGGGTCCACAGACTGAGTACACAAAAATTACCCAAACTAAAATCAAAGAGTAAAAATCACCTGCGAGACAAAAAATTTTTTTTTCTCTTACTGGGAAATGTATCAGGACGCCAAACAAAGAACGAGGTAGAAGACAATCTTGAAATTCAATACGGAAATAAGACAAAAAAAGCACCAAAAAGGCGGTGGGTCCGCAGGAAAATGGGCATCAGCCAGCCCAGCAAGCTCAGTGAAGGGCTGTTCCAACGCTATCGAACCCAGAAAAATCCGTCCTACTCGTTCAAGAAAAAACCTAATACACTCACACACGTAAGGGCAAAGACAACAAAACACCCGTTTAGAGTTTTTTGGTCCAGGCGACATCTTAGACCAGGGTGAGTGGACACGAAGACTCAGAAGAGTCTGGTGCCAAATAACGCCTGAGACGGAGCCCAGCGTTTTCTGCCCAAGGCAGCGCTCCAACGGCCTCGCTCGCTTCAACACAACTTCTGAGAAGACGATGGGGCGACGGTGAGGACTAGGGATGGGGGCAGGAGGGGACACACAACCTGCCTGAACGTACCGGGACTGAACACTTCTTTACATCAAAAACAAACAAACAAAAAAAACCAAGGCTTAGAACTTCCGTCTCCCTACCGCTTCAGGCCCAGCAGTAACAAGCGTGAACTATCGAAATCTCCAGGGCATCTAGTTCCAGGCCTCCCCTGCGTCGGCTGGGCAGCCAAGGCCTATTTTCGGCCTTGAGGGATGGGGGAGGGGGCTGCGCGGCGCCCGGGAGTCTGGGAGGCTCCGCGCCGGACCGCAGGCCCCGGGAGGGACGGAGAAGCCGAAGGCCGGAGAAGCTCGGGGGAAGGGATCCGGGAACGGGCCCCGGGCCCCGAGCGCCGGCGCCTCCCCGCCGAGAAAATGTCGGAAGGGGGTACTGCGGAAGGGCCTGCTCGGCCGCACGCGTGGGGGAGGCGAGAAACCGAGGCGCGCGCTCCCCCCCGTCGCGAGCGCGCGCGAACCCGCGAGCCGTCGGCGGCGCGAGCCGTTGCCATGGGGGAGGGGAGGGCAGGTAAAAGCCCCGCGCGCGACGGGAACCGAAGGAAGGGGGGGAGGGGAGGCAAGCGAGCGAGGGCGTCCGCGTGAGCTAGGGGCGGCGAGCGCGCGTGCGCGCGGCGGCCTGGCCCGTTCTCCGCGCGCTTTGGCCTCGCGCCGGGGCCGCCGCCCCTCCCCCACCCGGCTCGCGCGCTCCCTCACCCTCTCACCCGCCGCCGCCGCCTCCACCCGCCGCCTCCGAGGGGGAGAGGTGCTGCCGCTGCTCAAGCTCCCGAGTCCCCTGGGGCCCGGAGCTACCGCCTCGCCTCGCCTCGCCGGTCCGCCCGCCTCAGCCGACACCGACGCCGCCTCGCTTCCTCAGGGGCCGCAGCGGGCTCCGACTGCGCCACTCGCACCCCGCCTGGGCCGCGCTGCACGTCAGCACGACCAACTAAGCGCGTCAGCACGCACCCGTGCGCGTCGCAGGGCCCGCCGGGAACCGTAGTATGTTCCGCGGCGTCGTGCGCAGGCGCCGACGCTACGTCGGGAAGTGTAGTTTTTTAACGCCCGAGGGAGGTTCAACTCGGCTGCCAAGGAACTACGAATCCCTTCGGCCAGTGCGAGGAAGGGCGGACGAGAGGAACAGAGCGGGCCACGTATTCCGGAGTGTTTCCGCTGGGAGGGAGGCGGGGCACAAGTCCTAGCGCCACATCGAGAGACGCTAGCGCGTTACTCGCCCGCCCACTTTCTACCCAGAGCGTTCTGGGAGTTGCAGTTCGTGCGTGCCGCGGAACCCGTATGTGGCTTCGGCCAGAGGCACGGCCGCCATTTTGTCTCCCCATGTTTGGAGTTGATGGTCCGAGTCCAGCCACTTGGCTACTTCCGTGTGCTCATGGGCCTCGCGCGGCAAGCGCGCGGCAGCGTCGCACCCGGCTTTCCGCACCCGGGAGAAGTCCCCACAGCCCCCAGGCAGCGGGTACACCCCTAACTTCAAAGCCCGGCTTCAGGCCCAGGGCCTGAGGCAAAAGCCACAGCAGCTGGCCGAGGTGTCGGCAGCTTCCACCGCTATAGACGGTGCTGAACCGAGCCGACTGCCTTGGGGGATAATTTTCGTACTAGTTCCTCCGTGCAAGGCGGCCGGGCAGCGACACTGTGTTCTCCAGAACCTGGGACACGTTAAACGTGGCAGGGCAAAAACGTTACAAACATCCTTAAATTCTTCTCCCCTCTGCTGAGTGTCTCACGTTACCTTTTAAACGTCCGCGGTTTTAACCTGAGGAGCAGTCCCGCTCTCAGCAGAGCTGAAAGCAGCTGGGCTTCTCATGCCGCCATCTGCAAGTCGACCTTGGGCTCGCCCTTGGCCTTGCCCGCTACCTGGGGGGGCGGGGGGGGCATCACACCCTCACGAGACCCCACTCGGTCGCAGCCCCATCATCCACTGCCTCCCCTTTGAGTTTGGGATTTCGTATTTGATTTTACCAAATTTTCTTCTTAACGTCCCAACGGAGGGATAAACTCGCCTCGGGGGCTGGACCGGGAAGCCCCGCGTGGGAGCGATGGCCGCGCCCAGGGCGCTGTTCTCAACCCGCCCCCTGGAACCCGGGCACCTGTGGGTACTGCTCCCGTGAGCGGAACCACCTCTGAGCAGTCTAGGAAACAGTCTTTTTGGACCAAAACCGGTGTTTCCGAGGCCGACGGTATAGCATGGCGGTATCTTAAAACCCACTACCTCCAGTGAGACTCTTTCCTACAATAATTATCCTTTTCTATATTTACCTAATGTTTGTGCCAAATTCTGCATTTGATGCTCATGACAACCCCGTGGGCGAGTGTTCTCCTTTTCTTACAGGGAGAACGCTGGCCCCCCTTGCATATCCACACTACAGATTTCAAAATCAGGAAAATGAGATTGAAACACCGATAACGTGCAGACCCCATTGAGGTGGTGTCCTTTGTTCCAACAAATCCTTTATGACAACAGAAAATTCAAAATCATGGATCCGTTGCATTCAGTTGTCATGTCTTTTTAGACTAATCTGGAGCAGTTCCTATTTCTTCATCTGTAATTCATGACATTGTCATTTTTGGAGAGTCCAGGCTGTTTGTTTTGTAGAATGGCCCTCAAGTTGGGTCTGTCTGATGTTTCATCATGTTTAGATTCAGGTTACACACTTTGGGCAGGAGGCACACGGAAACGGTGCTGTGACCTCAGTATGTGACACGCAGAGGTACATACTTCCCAGGAGTTGCATTACTGCCTATGCTGGCTTTGATTTGTGTGTTTAAGAAGCGGCCAATGTGGCTTCTCTGCTGTAAAATTTCTAGTTGTCCCTTTGGTAGTTAAAAAAAAATCTAGTGGAAATAGAGAAAAATGTGTTTACAAACCAAGATAAGGGTTGTGGGCGTACTTTGAGTTCCTGTGGCCTCATTACTTCTAGGCCTTCTTGGAAAACAAAGCTGGGAAATGGGTGAGATGTGCACACCCCGGAGTTCACACTAATTCCACAGGGTTTGTGCTCTCCTCCTCCTCCTCTCCTCTTCTTCCTAACCCCCTCCCCTTCCTCCCCCTCCTCTTCCTCCTCCTCCCCTTTCCCCTCAGCTGGGAGTTTGTAACTGTATTCTCCAACCCTGAGAACTTGGCTCCTGGTTCACCCATAGATTGATTTATTTGTTCAGTTTGCTGGAATTCCAAAAAGCAGCTTCAGATTTCTTCATCTATGTCTGGAGGAGTGAGGAGCCTACCAATTAGAGTTAAATATCTGTTCAGAGTTGTTTTTGTCTTGGGGGGGGGGGGGATATGCTCTAAATGCTATATTCAAAAGTTGCTTGAGTTAATGGTTTTATTTTTGTCTCACCCTTGAGTGTGTTTATATTATTCATTTGAAATAATGCTTTTGATTCAATTGTTTCTATATTAAATTTTAGGATATTTCCTCCCACCCCTTAAAGATTTTTTTTATTTTCCTTTTTTTCGAATGTTTGAAGCGATAACATGATTCCAAAAGGCAGGTCTATACCAAAAGGTATATTCAGAGAAATGGCTTCTCTGTAATTCTCTCTCTCTAGGAACAGAGAGTTGCAGTTCCTGGCAACTACCTTTTGAAATCAATTTCAGTCCTCTCTGGTTTCTCTTTCCTAGGTTTCTCTTTGCTCAGGTGAGAAGGCAAATGTATATTTTCTTAATTCCCCTTCTTTCATACACAAAGTTAGCACACTCCACTCTAGATACTTTCTCACGCTTCCTGTTTTTCACTTTAGCACTATAGCCTGGAAATCATTCCACATCAATTTACAGAGATGTGTGGATGGACTTTGATTCCATCGCTCTTTGATGTATGACCATCTAAATTGTTTGCAGTATTTTATAATTGCAAACCAAGCTGCCACGAGTAACCAAGGCATAGGTATGTTTGTGTTGTTGAGGCTATACCTATGGGATACGTTTCTAGAAGTAAGATTGCTGAGGCAAAAGGTAAAGACACATACTTTCGTTGGTAATGACGGATCCCTGCCGCCAAACACGAGAAGCCCGCTTTCCCATAGCCTCGCCAACAGCGTGGCCGCAGCACTTCCCAACTTCCGCTAACCAGATAAGTGAGAGACGGGGTTTCCGTGTCCTGGGAAAACGTGCACGCCATACAGTGTACCGTGTTAAGTATTCGTGTGCAGCTCAGTAGTGTTACGTACATTCACAGTGTTTTGCAACCGTCACCATACACGTGCCGGAACTTGTCATCACCCGAACTGTCCCTGTTAACAACTCCTGCCTCCTTCTCCCAGCCCAGTAGCCTTTATCCTGTTTTCTGTGTCTGTAAGTTTGCTTCTTCTAGGCCACCAATGCGTGGAATTGCATACTATCTTCCCTTTGATGCCTGGCTTATTGCACTGAACATGTTTTCAAGGTTTATGTAGGTTGTGGCATGTGTCAGAATTTCCTTCTTTGTCATGGTCCGATGTGCTCCATCGAATGTACATACCACGTTCTGTTTGTCCGTTCATTCGCTGATGGACATTTGCGTTTCCACATTTTGGCTCCTGTGAATAACGCTGCTGTGAGCATTGTGTAGACATATGGTTTTATTTCTCAGGTGTGCACCTTGGATTAGAATTACCGGGTCATCTGTAATTCTCTGTTTTAACTATTTGAGGAACCGCCACACTGCGTCCCACTGAGGCCGCCCCATTTCACACCCCCTCCAGCAGTGTGCACATTCTCCACACCCTCACCAGCACTCATCTGTGTCTGGGACTCCAGCCACGCTAGTGGGTGTGAAGTGCCATCTCATTGTATCCTTTATTTTGAGAGAGGGAGGGAGGGAAACAGAATCCCAAGCAGACTCCACAGTGTCAGCACAGAGCCCAACACGGGTCTCGAACCCACGTACCATGAGATCATGACCTGAGCTGAAATCAGAAGTTAGATGCCCAACCAACTGAGCCTCGTTGTACCTTTGATTACTCTTTCTCTCATGACATTGAGCTTCTTGTCATGTGCTCTGTGTTCATTTGAAGATCTCCCTTGGAGAAATGTCTAGTTGGGTCCTTCATGCATTTTTTCATTGGGTTGGTTTTCTTGTCACCAAGTTACAAGAGTTCTTTATACGTTACTGTTGTCAATTACTTATCAGATAGCTGATGTGTGACTAGTTCCTCCCATTCTATAGGTTGTTTTTCATGTTTTCATAGTGTCCTTTCCGTGCATGAAGATTTTTAATTTTTTAATTTTATTTTTTATTTTTTTATTTTTTTCGAGAGAGAGAGAGAGAGAGAGAGAGACAGCGTGAGCAGGGGAGGGTCAGAGAGAGAGGGAGTCACAGACTGAAACAGGCTCCAGGCTCTGAGCTGGCAGTCAGCACAGAGCCCGACGCGGGGCTCGAACCCACGAACCGC